GCTATACAGACACATCAGGAACATATGCACAAAGACAATAAGAAAAGACAGGCTTCAGCGCCAGATAAAGCTTATGGATAAATTTGTCACCAATTCGAAAAGCTTATTCTGTTATGCAGTCTCTCTTCGTCAATCCAAACCTGGAGTTTCCCAACTGCTAGGCCCGACCAACAACAATGGTGGCATCACTAATCTTATGGCTGAACAGTACTCACATACACTTCAGCCAACCCACATCAACTATACTGATGACAATTTCATCTGCAACTGCACATGACTTTCCGAAGTGAACCCGAGCGCTGATCTGGTGTTCCGAAAACTGCAGCACTCAAGAAAAGACACCTTTCCCGGCTCAGATATGGTTCATTCTGCTATACTGAGAGAAGCAGTTTAAATCCTGGCAACACCTCTTGTCGTGATGTTCTCACACTCGCTAAGCCGAGGCAAACTACCGGAAAATTGGAAGCTGGTTCACATCACACCAATTTTCAAAGGAAGTCGACGCAGCGAAAGTTCAAGCTTCCAGCCGGTGGTCCTGCTCTCAATACCTTCAGAAATCATGGAGTCCCTGATATTCGACGGTATACATGACTGCTTATTATCCTTTAACTTCTTTTCACACCAACATCACGGTATCAGGAAGTGTCATTCTTGTATAATTGTTCTGCTGACTGTAGTGGACAGATGGACGACAATTCCTAACCGCAAGGGGAAGGCTGACGTCATTTACCTTGACTCCTCGAAAGCTTCTGATAGGGTCAACCAAATATATCCTATCAATAAGCTCAAACGACTGAGTATCAGACCACCTCTAATTGATTGGCTGATTTCATATATGAAAAATCGACATTTTAAGGTCAGGGTTACCTTCACTTTATCTCAGCCTATAGAATGTCTTATTGGGGTCAGACAGGGCTCAGTACTAGGACCTCTTCTCTTCTTGCTTTATACGACTGATCTTCCACAACAGGTAACGTCAGACATAACTTTTTGCTGATGACGTGAAACTTTGAGGAGAGATACGCAACCAAGAGGATATACAGGCACTTAAGGAAGATCTGACTCGACTTCAAAGTTGGGCAGATGGCAACGCACCTACCTTCAACACTTCAAAGTGTAAATAATTCCATCTGCGACATGTTACAGACTACAGTTACAACTTAGGAAACTCCTCTCTAGTAGTATCCCGAGTCGAAAAAGATTTAGGAGTGTTGGTACCCAAAGATTTGAAGTCACACGCTAACTGTGACAGATAATATTGAAGCAGATTCATGGCCAGTTTGACGGAAGAACTTTCCACATGATCTTCAACAGTTTTATTCCTCCTCATCTAGAGTACGGAAACATAGTATTTCCTACCCCACTCCAAAAGAATCAAGACTCTCTGGTACGTATCCTATGGAGAGCCACGAAATCAGTTCAGGAACTCAAACTCATGCCCTATGAAGAGCGCCTTCAATCACTGAACCCTTATCCATTGGAGTACAGAAGTCATAGAGGTGACCTTCTGATGGCTTTCATCATCCTGAATAATTCTGGACATCACCTTAAACACCCACTTAAGCTTAGTCCCAACACAAACCTAAGGAGTAACACCCAGAAACTGGGAATGCAACATAACAGAATGGACTGTAGACACACTTTCTACTCTTTGAGAGTTGTCAAATGCTCGAATTCACTGCCGACTTAGCTAGTACAAGAGACTTCCAAAGGAGTCCTTTAAAAGGAAACTTGACCTATCCATAATGACCAAGGATAATATCTTGCTGAAGATATAAGTGATCCACTGCTACTAGACACGGAGGCCCGTTAAGCGAAAGCTACTTCTATTCCGTCCAGAACCATTTGAACCTGAAGATGCAACGAGTATTTGGAGATTGACAACACCTTGACCAGTAACAAGTTCTGTAATCAAAACGTTCACAACCAGTGAGATCAGAATTCAGAAGCGATGGGTCCGAAGATATACTTGACAAGCTATCAATATATCGACAAGTGACTGACCTAAACTGGCTAGCGGTTGCAGGAGAAGTTGATTTATTTACCGCTACAAATCATTCCCGTAGTGAGGTAGTTATGACTCTAAGACGTGGCTAGCCAGAAGGTTAAACCCAACGAGTTATTCGTTGGTAAACATTCTTCTGATAGCTTGCTATGTTCATCAGCATCTGGTCATTTTTCCGTACTATAAGGGGCCATATGGTACAATATGGTAATAAAGAAACAGGTGCAATGAAAATCTTGATTCGTCATGAACCTTGTTGTTTGTTCGTCTCCCCCAAACGTCCTGGAAAAGAAAGAGAAAGGAAACGTAAATATACGTCGAATCAAACTCGCACGTGCTTAATGACACAAAACGGGCGAAAAAGAAAAATATATGTGTTTCGTAAACATACAACAGCATAAAAAAGATTTTCTCAGAATTGTTACTTATGTTTTTTTGAAAAAAGAAAAGTATACGCACATCTGTGAGCATATGAACAAACAACCAAAATTTGTTTTTTCTTGAAGTAAACGTATATATATAAGCATATTAAAGATGTTTTTAACATAAATAGAAAAATCAAGACTAAACAAAACATTATATAGTGTCTTGCGTGCAGAAATCGCTTCGGCGTTCTGGAAACCTTATTCTTCTTCCAGAATGCATTGTTTTGAGTCAGTTATCAGATACCGCCAAGGTATCATTTAGATTGTTTGATATCGGATGAGGTATCGTAAATGTACGACTCATGTCTTTCCAGTGTACCGAAAGTAGATCGACATGAATAGGGTTTCGTTCTAAATATACAGTTTTGATGCGGTCGATGCTCATGCTACCGTTAGTTACATTCACGTTTAAGAGCTTTGAATTGTCCTTCGTATGCTGTTTTGAGATGTTGTCGAAATGAGTCGTAATAAATCGTGTGTACTATATTGTGAGTCCGGTTGAACGAAAACATCAGTTGATTGAAGTCGAATAAAAACAGGTTTAATTGAACGCATTGCGTTTGTAAGCCTGACAGTGTAGGAGTTTAGATCTATATTCATTGAAGAAGACTAAGAATTCACGAATTCTCCTGAAAGTTGAGTTGCGAATACAAAGTAAGTCGAGTGGAAGAGCGTCGGTTCACCATGAAATGTTTGCTTGATAAATGCACGAACACCTGGATGAAAAAGCTTGTGAAACTTATTGAAAACGTCGCATCGATAATGTTTTGGCACGATTGGACGATCCCACTCAGTAAACTTCCCTTACCTATTCCTATCTCTTTACTACGCAGGTTTAGAGTTGTTGAAGATAACTCGTACTGAAAATCGGTGTCTTTTCCTTGAAGATGTGCGAGTTTAAGTTGGTCGATCCCTCGTAACTGTCCATGGAGGTTATACGAGATAGGGCATCTGCAACTACATTGTTTGCTTCAAAAATGTGTTATGTATTTAAAGCAAACTGAGAGAGGAAGTCCAGTTGTCGAGACTCTCGAGAGGATTACGTATCTGAAAATGAACTTAAAGAGAAAGTAGGAGGTTTGTGGTCGGTGAAAAGAGTGAATCCTCGGCCTTCAACCGAGTGTTGAAAGTGCCGTACAGCACAATTCATGGCTAGGAGTTTCCTATCGAAAAGACTATACCTCCATTCAGTGTCTTGAAATGATTGCTAAAGGTTACCGGCTATTGTTTACCAAGTGTGGTAAGAAATTTCTGATTGCCGAGTTGGATGCGTATACAGTGATGCCAATTGGTACTTTCATATCCTAATGTGCGAGCATTGTTGCTTGTGAGATTATTTATTTAAGTGTAATGAATGCTTTATTCGAAGTGTCGTACAAATTGATGGATTTCGCATTTCCACAAAGTTGGTCGGATAAACGCCTTATGAAGGACACGCATTCCGGTATGAACTGTCAACAAAACCTTATCAGGCTGTTGAACATCCGTAGCTGCTTGATTGTTGTCGCTCCTAGGTAATTCGGAATGACCGCTACTTTGCTTTTCAGATGGTGAATGTGTTTGAGAAAAACTAAGAAGTCAGTTTGATTTGAAATTTCCGAATGTTTACAGTGAAGATGCCACAGGTATTCAGAGTTTGACAACACTTTAACCAGTAACACCTTCTAATATGAAGCGTACCCACCAAGTGAAATCAAAAGACAGAAGCGAGAAGGTCCGAAGATATATTTAATAGGTTACAAAAATATCGAGGATCGTGCGATCTAATTCAGCTAGCGACTGCAAGGCTTTTTAAGCACGGCGTTCCTACTCGTGATCTGGTGTGGATGTGTGACCGCAATATATAACAATTAGAATAAAGAAATGATATATAAAGTTTTGAAATGGGAAAGAATCACAGTCAACGAGTTGGTGTATCAGATCACATCGGGCTCATAACTAAAGATGACACAAGTATTTTGGAGTTTGACAACACCCTGACCAGTAACAACTTCTGTAATAAAAACGTGCACACCCAGTGGAATCAGAAGTCAGAAGCGATGGGGTCCGAAGATATACTTGACAAACTATCAATATATCGACAAGTGACTGATCTAAACTGGCTAGCGGTTGCAGGAGAAGTTGATCACAGCGTTCCCACTCGTGATCTGGTGTGGATGCATGACCGAGCGCCTTCAGCTAAGTGAGTCCATTGAAACTAATGTGGTCAGCTCCAATGTCGAGGATTTACAGAGCTATTTATTGTGAGGATTTATTTACCACTACAGACCATTTGAGGAATAAGACAACAGGTCTCGGGTTTTGGCGCGAAATTCACTCATCCGCTAAGTACAGTTTTGGCGTTGTAGCTAATGTCAGTTCGTGATGAAAACTCTAAATCTAATTCCTGACATAAACCATGAACTGCAAATCACAATTCTAATTCCTCACACTGGATTATGACTCTCATTTGGTTCTAATTATTAAATGGACATTCTCAGGGTTACTTTAGCGTCGCTCAAAGGTCGTCCATAAATTATAGTCTTACTGTCATATATATATATATATATATATATATATATATATATATATATATATATATATATATATATATTCAACCAGCAATTAGTGGCTATGGACTGGCTCCATATCCTTTTGTTACTCAACCCCGAGGTTGAGATCTCATTGGCTTAGTCATTACCGACCGTGATCAAAGAAAAAGGTTACTTCAACCACTGAATTTTTGGTAATATAAACCAACAGTTGAAGGTGTTAAGTGATATGCCTCGGAGTTAATCACAATTAAGCCTGGAATGTATCTACATTGCTTATAACTGAAGCGCACTCATAGTAGTATTGATCTGGACATTTAATTTCCTGTTTGTCACGAACTCTTACTCATCTCCAGTTATCGTTCATGTTTCTCAGCCAACAGTGATCACAAAGCATTTAGTGGACGTAAAAAATCGGCATGAACAGTTTTTACCACAATTTACCGAAAATTGTATGTAGATTTGATTACACATATATTAATGATTAGGAGTTGCATGCCCACCTTTCTGGGAGTATTAGTTCGGCGTTTTTGAAGCGTGAATCAATTACCAACCGTGATGTTCAGAACATTAATCCAAGTTTTGATTTTGAAACATGGAACGGGGATATGAATAGGTAATTATGGAGTTTTACTTACCTTTAAAATTATGTATGTAGGTGTTTTGATGCTTTCCGAACAATCCACAAACTAATTGAAACACCAGAGATTTTGGAGAGAGTATGCATTTTTGGTATAATAGTTTATTTACCCTTTGATAAACATGCCAGTCAGTCAGTTACAACGTAGGACCAGGTACATATATATAACGGTCCAAGTTGCCACACCTCATTGGCACAACAAAACAAACACCAAATTCACAGTAGTTTCTTCGATGGCAGTAATATGTAAAGAAGGATTGCATATAAGGATATGATACAGGCAGAGTGAATTAGTTCATAGAAAGGGAGATATAAAGTAACTTTAATCTCACGGTTCAGGGCAGGACAGAGAGTTTATACACCTACGCCGTTGTTATCGGTTCTGTCACACAGTCTCTAACCATTGGTTAAGATAGTCGCGCAGACCCCAACCAAGTAGTCTGCGTCCACCAACATGGCTCAGACCGGAAGTTAGTGACTTTATGGACTGATACCACGTTTTAGTCTGGCCGCCCCGGCTTTCTTTCACCCGTCTTCAACACTAGTTGTTCGATGGTAATATTTTTGTGGATGAAACTGTACTGGTGACTGTAGTGGAGTATATCAAGAGAGGCTTTTTGAGAGAGTATCTAACTATATTGCCTTCTCATAGTTAATGTGGGTTATTATATGACCGATGGATGTAATACACCTCTTAGTTCTGCTGATTTCCCTCAGTGTAGTCAGGTTATGGATCTTATTCTACATTGGCCTTCGATATATATATATATATATATATATGTCTCGGGTTCACACTTCCATCTTGACAAACCACTAGTACATATTCGTTTTTCTATATATCAAGAAGTAATCATTCATGTTATGGGAATGAAAGGAGTACCGATAATTTGTATGCATTTTCAGCAATTGATGCACACCAATTTTTACATCGCCCTCTTCATTTCTTTCCGTACTTGTTGTCAACACTTAGACGGTTATTTCTAATGTTCTTATTTGTACAGAGTAAATGATCTTGCAATAAAATATCCCAATATCCGAATGTCAAGTTATTTCTTTTGTAGTTTTATTTTAATTGAGAAAAATTCTCGTTTAGTTCCTGAAGTTCATTTCATGTAATTGATTTTAATTTAACTGGTAACTTAGATCTTTATAGTGTGGAGTATAATCAAGGAGTTTGTGAAACATTATGATGCAGATGTATGATTTTTCACCGCGAAGAAAATGTACAGAAAAACATCTCAACAGGATTTGTATTTGAAGTACCACAAAATGACAGTAAAATAAAATAAATATAATAAAATAATACATCAATACATCTATATGATTCTTCAGTTGAAATTGTTTCAGAGTGTAAAAGTCTTTTTCCTGAAAATTAGGTTAAATGGCATTAGCCAGGTTCTGTTCAAACATTAAGTTCTCTAGCCACCAAATTAATCTTTCCTAACATTAACTTTGTTTTTTTGCATTGTTTTTGTGTTCCTGACCCTTAAAAGCGTTTATTTGTACATGTTGGTGTGACATGAATTTCCATACAAAAATATTTGGGTTTTACAATAATTATTATTCGTTTCACTTGCTACACGTCTACACTAAATTCTAGGCTACAACTTCCGTTATTGAAGAATTTAATCAAGAAAACGTCATTCTTTTGGAATTGAGGACTACGTTACGACCAATTCCAACTCATCGTTCTTATTTGAATGCGGTAATCAGAGGAATACAGAATGCACCGAGTGTACTTGATAATAAAATATATGTGACATTAATACTATCTATAGACAGGTCTAAAAGTCTTGATGAAGCGTTACTCACTTTAGAGTTAGCAAAGGAATACTATTCTAATGGATTGGTATCAGGCATTGATCTCAGCGGGAATCCACTAGTAGGTTCATCTGTTTAAAAATTCCTAATGACTTAATTTTCATAATCTCATATTTGATTGTACTTCCTCTACTAAATTGATCCACAACTCAACCCAACAACGGTTAACCATTGACCTTGCGCATACGTAGCAAGATTTTTATTACTAAGCTGTGTTTCAATTCGATGTTGTGGGAAATCTAGTTCAACCAATTTTGGTCGGTTACTTTTCCACGTGCAGAGATAACCATTGACCTTGCGCATACGTAGCAAGATTTTTATTACTAAGCTGTGTTTCAATTCGATGTTGTGGGAAATCTAGTTCAACCAATTTTGGTCGGTTACTTTTCCACGTGCAGAGATAAACTTCTTTGGTGTCGTAGGGTTTGGAAGCATTACCAGAAAAACGAGCCAGGCGTAACGTTACCCTTGAAATTGCGCGGCAGTGCCTTCACTTTTGCCAGAAATTATGCAAGTTGATCTGTCATTCCGTGCTCGTGGAAGTCGGCTTCTGAGTATCAGAACCAGGATTCGATATTTTCAATCCAGAATGGCATGAAATGGAAGGTGGGTAGTGTGAGAGTCCTAATGTTTAGCAGTTTGGGTGTCTATTTCGTCATCATGTGGATCAAATTTATAAATGGGCAAAAAAGCTCTGAGAACACAAAACTATCTATCATAGTATGCAAAAAATAGATATAGTGTAACCACAAAGAAAAGACAGTTTATTGTTTGGTGTATCGGACCGAATCGGGTTCTCCACCAAGGATGTCACGGACATTCAGGGTTTGACAACGTGTTTGTCAGTAAGACCCTCATGATTGGAAGATATCAACCCAGTCAAACCTTAGGTCAGGGATAAATGAGTTCGAAAATATGTTCGTGAAGTCACCGATATGTTGAGAAGCGTTTGATTTAAGCTGGCCAGTTGTTACAAAGGATGCATATGCATCCACGCTATATAGCACGGAGTACCTATCTGTGATCCGGCGCTGATGCCTGACAAAGCACCTTCAGCCAAGACACATCCAGTGAGATTAGTGAGGTCAGAAGAAACGTCAAGGACTTACAGAACTATTTGTTTTGTTGGTTTACTTACCGGGAATGGAAATTCATCAAACAGTCCTTGAGGCTCAAACACATACTGACTCAGCATGTGACGAGACTAGCCAAGAAGGACGGTGATCTTAGACCCCGTCTAATGAAGATAACCTTCCCATCTTCCCACATGGCGGCTGCAGTTCTGGAAGCATTTCGTGCTAATAGACGTCGATTGCCACCTGGAATCCACATGCACCCGGATAGGCCATACGAAGTCAGGACCAAGAACAAAGGCAAGTTGGAGCTGACCATTCCACTTGTGGACTGTCTAAACGATAAAAAAACGTGTAAAGGACAGGGCCTACCACCTCGGCAAACCTCATATAGGTGGGCTACCTGTCCATTCACATAAGGTTCATACAGAAAAACAGGACGAAGCTCACGCGTTCCAAATTGAAAGCATAAACTGCTTATATATGAACGCCGCGAGTTTACCAAACAAACTGGATGAACTACGTGAACTTAGCAACGCTAACAAGGCCCATCTGATAGGAATATCTGAAACCTGGATATCTTCTCAGTTCTCGGACCAAGAGTTAGCATTGCCTGGGATGACTTTGTTCCGCAACGACAGAAAAACAGGAATTGGGGGCGGAGTAGCCATATACATAAGCTCTTGCTTGGAGGTGCACCAGGTTCACAACCTCGAGTTTAACAATCTTGAGGAATCCATATGGTGCTCTGTAAGGTTGTCTAGTACTTCCAGGTGTCTAGTCGGAGTCATTTACAGGAAGCCAACTGCCGACACCGAGTACGATATTCGTATGCTGGAAGGACTATCCCGCTCTACTCGTCTCGGTTTCACACACATCCTGATTCTAGGGGACTTTAATCTCCCTAGAGTCAACTTCGCGGAACACACGTATACTGGAGGCGACAACTCAACTGAAGCTCGGTTCTTCAACCTCATCGATAACTTGGGCTTATATGAAAATGTGAGGTCGGCAACTCGTTGGAGAAACAGTCAGACACCATCGCGCTTAGACTGTGTATTCACTAACGAAGAATTCCTAGTCGACAACCTCTCAATCCTGGCTCCTCTGGGAAAAAGCGATCATGCCGTCATAGCCTTCAGTTTTGTCATCAAAACTAAGCTAAGGTATCCCAACAATAATTTGAGTTGGAATTTTAAACGGCTGAATGTGCCAGCTCTACATGACCATCTACAACAGGTGGTTTGGGATGTTCACCCTCAAATCGATGTGGATGGTCATTGGGACTTCTTACTGCACACGCTCTTATGTGCTACAGACCATTCAGTTCCTCAAACGGTTCCCAAAAGCTTCAAGCCACCTACAGTTATCAGGAACCGTACCCTTCGCCTCCTAAGCCGCAAACGGCACTGTTGGGCGGAATACAAACGAACTAATAACGATGGAGCGTATAGGCAATACAAACATATCAGGAACACGAAGGCTATAAGAGAAGACAGGCTTCAGTACCAACAAAGCTTATGGACAAATTCGCCTCTAACCCTAGAAGCCTATTCCGTTATGCAGCCTCACTTCGTCAAGCCAAAACAGGAGTTTCTCAACTGCTAGGTCTTAACGGCCCGACCAACAACGATGGCGACGCCGCTAACCTTCTGGCGGCCCATTACTCTCAAACATTTCAACCGGCTGACATCAACTTTATTGACGACAGTTTCATCTGCAATTCCACAGGACTTTCTGAAGTGGACCTAAGCGCTGACTTGGTGTTCCGGAAACTGCAGCACTTAAGACTTGACACTTCTCCTGGCCCGGATATGGTTCATCCTGCCATACTGAGGGAGGCAGCCTCAATCCTGGCAACGCCGCTTAGCGTGATGTTTTCACACTCGCTTAGCCGAGGCAAATTACCGGAAAACTGGAAGTTGGCTCACATCACACCAATTTTCAAAGGTGGTCGACGCAATGAACCTTCAAGTTATCGGCCGGTAGCTCTTCTGTCGTTACCTTCAAAACTCATGGAGTCCCTGATATGCGACGGTTTAAATGACTATCTACTGTCCTTAAATTTCTTCTCACCCCAACAGCATGGTTTCAGGAAGAGTTACTCTTGTATAACCAACCTGCTGAATGCGGTGGACAGATGGACAAGCATCCTCGATCGCAAGGGAAAGGTTGATGTCATTTACCTTGATTTCTCAAAAGCTTTTGATAAGGTCAACCACTTGTGTCTTATCAACAAGCTCAAACGACTAGGTATCAAACCACCTCTAATCGACTGGCTTACTTCATACCTAAAAAATCGACACTTTAAGGTTAGGGTTAATTTCACTTTATCTCAAGCTATGGAATGTCCTGGTGGGGTCCCCCAGGGCTGAGTACTAGGGCCTCTTCTCTTCTTGATCTACATAAATGATCTTCCTCAACAGGTAACGTCAGACTTATTACTTTTTGCCGACGACGTGAAACTTTGGAGAGAGATACGCAACCAAGACGATATACAGGCACTTCAAGAGGATCTGACTCGACTTCAAAGTTGGGCAGACGATAACGGACATACCTTTAACACTTCAAAGTGTAAAGTAGTCCATCTGCGACATGTCGCAAACTACAGTTACAACTTAGGAAACTCCTCTCTAGTAGTATCCCAAGTCGAAAAAGATTTAGGAGTCCTGGTGCCCCATGACTTGAAGTCTTACGCTAACTGTGACAAAAATGCCTTCCGAGCAAACCTTGCACTGGTAACGTTGAGGCGCATTTTTGGCCAGTTTGACGGAAGAACTTTCCACACAATCTTCAATAGTTTCATCCGTCCCCATTTAGAGTACGGAAACATAGTACTCCCCCCTCACTCCAAAAGGACAAGGTCACTTTGGAGCGCATCCAACGGCGAGCCACGAAATCAGTTCGAGGACTCAAATCTAAGCCTTACGAAGAACGCCTCCGTTCACTAGACCTTTACCCACTAGAATATAGGCGTCTTAGAGGTGATTTATTAATGGCTTATAGTATTCTTAACACTTCTGGACATTCTCTTAAACACCTACTTAAGCTTAGTTCGAATAATAACCTAAGGGGTAACACCCAGAAACTGGAAACACAACATAGCAAGACGGAATGTAGACACAACTTCTACTCCTTAAGAGTTGTCAAAAGCTGGAACTCGCTGCCGGCCGAGCTAGTCCAAGCGACTTCTCAGGAGTCCTTCAAGAGGCAACTTGACCTATTCTTAAGGACCAAGGACAGCATCACATTATGATTTACCAATTTCTTTTCCTCTTTTACTGTTAACATACCTAGGTTCCTGCCTGGAGGATTTGGTGATCCCCTGCTACTAGACACGGAAGCCTGTTAAGCGAAAGCTTCTTCTATTCCGTCCACAACCATTTGAACCATTTGAACCGCTACAATGGATAATAATAAAGTTAACGCTGAGATTCTCCATTCCATTTTGTTATTCATCATCAAGTTATGATGTTAACAGCAAAATATCATGTATTTCAAATCTTCTGTTGTTTCGTCTGTATTGTCGAATTGACAGCTTTTATAAGAAGCAGGTGGGCAGTATCTGTTTTACAGTATAGTGTGATGAGGTATTGACCTAAGGCGTCAAAATCGAAAAGTCCGGGCCTTGAGGTGGGATGGGTGTTCCGAAGTTCTTTAGATGGATTAGTGCTCGATACCCTTGCATCAACCAGATTTTGCGGCCAGGAGAGGTTGGTACTGTCTAGGAATTTGTTTTCTATTATATTTCTTAAAATATTGACGCTACAACAAAGCCTCATACATTAAATTTTATTGTAACTAGCATTTACTGTAGACTACACTGCCATACCATGTCAGCCTCAATTTAGGAGTTTATCAGACTTCTTTGGATTTCCGAACATACAGTGCTGAGTTAATTATAGCGATAAAAATGCCCATGTGAGGTAAATGTATTTTATCAGAACTAAGAATACTGTATTTTAACGTTGACCTGGGAATGGTTAAGCTAAGAAACTACTAATAATTAGCTCCTGTTTAGTTAGTAATGAAGGTACCAAATTATACATTATTCAAATCATTGGTGGTATATGATGGATTCATCAGGTGGATAGCCTTGAGGTTGAATGTGGGATTTTAGGTAGAAATTGAGTCGTTTAGTGAAAATTTAATTCGTTGTGGACAAACGTGCTTGCAGCATTTTTTATAAATATCAAGCCGCCACCCATCGGACACAAGAAGGCAGAGACTTTCTAGTTGGTCCTCCAGGAGCTTGTAACTAAAGTTACTTGCTATACATTGACATCACTTCAACTAAATCAACAGTCTAATTAAACAAAGCAATTCAGATACGTTTTAAGAAAATTGATAAGTCTCATTTGTTATTTCACCCACTCTAGGAGCGTCAGAGGAGACATCCATTTCTCGAGACCGAATAAATTAAGTTTTCAACTTCACTTCGGGCATTTGGGCAACATGCCTTAACTTCCCAGTAAGGTTGTTTGTTAGCCAAAAACACGGTTCTAGACTGTTACGGAGATTTGTTAGCATCCTGGAAATTGAAAACAGTGGAATAAATACAATCCTCAAGGTCGATTTATGTGAGTCATTCTCTCAATAATCTGTTTGATAGAATGCTACTTATGATTCTTCTTGGTAAAGCGTGGATTCAATTCCTTTTTCTGGAGTGGTCGTAAGTTGGTCAACAGTTTTCTGTGGTCAGTGACAACATTTATTATCAACAATATTTGTCACATGGATTATTGGGAAACAAATTAGTCCGTCCATAACGAGCTAATGGTTTACTTTGTTTCATCACATGGAGCATCATGGTTATACATTTTATGCTCATATTACCGTTTATTACGTATATTTTCTTAATGGGTGTATTATCCTCTATTCTTAAAGATCCCTGTTATCGATCACTTTTACTTGGACATGAACGGTATACTTCACACTTGTTCACACCCAGAAGGTGGTAAAATAATCTTTTCGGAAGAGATTATATTTCGAAATATTTGTCTATATATTCAAGTAAAGTTGGCGTGCATCTAGTAAACTGCTTTTTCAGTTCTTGTTCAACCTCATTAAGCCACGTAAGACTTTCTTTTTGGCCGTGGATGGTGTTGCACCTAGAGCTAAAATGACGCAGCAACGTGCTCGCCGTTTCCAGTAAGTATTCATTTGAATGTATTGACATTATGTTTCTTTGATAAATATTTATAATTGTATTTCAATTTTACAGATCTGCTTTAGAGGCTCGTATTGCCAAAGAGAATTTAAAAGATAGTTCACCTGAGACCCACTCATTCGACCCGTGTGTGATTTCTCCAGGTATGTAATTTTGTAATTGGATCACTTTCAGTAAGTTGTTGTGTAAAAATAAATAAAAGTATATTTGAGTCTCACAACGACTTTATCAGAACGTTGGCTGAAGATTTATGTTTAATTTATGGCGGGAGTGACGTTTTACCGTTTACTATTAACTTAGCTGTTATGTTTTGCAGACCACGTTAATTAAGTCGTGATATTCTTGAGTCGTCCATTTGTCGGAATATTAGTAAATGTTAGTTTCATTACTGAATTGCCGATAGTTTATGTTTTAGTTTAACATTCATGTTTATTCCTTATAGGTAAGGGAAACATCTAAATTAGTATTATTTAAGCTGTATCAACGATTTTTGTAAGCGAAACTAAAGAACCAGATGTTCGTTTCTGATTGCCAACCAACTGTATTATATTGTCATTATAGAAAAAATGAAGGTTGTATTTGTCCTAATGTCAGTGATGTACTTACGTACGTACCATCAGTTCAGCACCTTACAGAGTTAATATCATAGTTATGCTGACAACAGTCAACAAATAAGAAAGCGGAGCTAGTGTGAATAAAAGACAAGATATTTATAATTTAAAAGATAAAGAGTATCACATAAGACCTTAAACTGCTAGTTTTGATCCTCCCACAGACTTAAACTATAAAACATCGGACTGAAGATAAGTGAGTCAGTAAATTACTATCATTTTTAGTGGAGAAATGTAAAACGAATACTTTCGTGCACATATGTTGAACACTAACACTGGAGAGCAAACACTGACATAAACTTGATAATGACGTGTCCGGTAGATGTTTCTCACTTTTTGTTTCCAGAATTACAAATTAGAGGTGTTGATTTGTGATGTAGATGTCTAGTTTGTTGGGTAAAAAGCTGATCAATTGAAAACGTTGGATTGTGCAGTGCGATAAGTGCTAATGAGATTATGTCTCTTATTTTGTCACTCTCACTATTAGTCCCGAACAATAATAAAGTGTCGAAGTGCTGATTACAAAATCACATTCGTATTCTATTTATTCTTGTGACAAAATGAAACTTGTTTAGCAACCTCAAATATTATCTAAAGTTATGTACAATATGGTCTGTTAACATATGATATTATCCAGAGGTCAGTGGACGTCCAGTGAATTTAGGACTTCGAACGTCTATCAACTGTTTGTCAGTTCTGAAAACATCGAGTTAATTATTTTCAATTCCAATCAATCGCATTTGATAATTACGTGGAAACCACCCATGCAAATACAGCCTATTACTTGTTAAATACCTACCACTTTGTTGTGTGTAAGAAAAATGTAAATTTTTGTGTTTTGGACCTGACATTGGTGAAATTGAAAATGTCTGACTGCTTTTTATTGTTATCCAATGTTCGCAGCGTGGGAGTTTGCGAAGAAACAGTTGACTGATGTTGTTTTACTTTGAAATCAATATAAATTATATTCACTGAAGAAATCTGGATGTGACCGTGGCTAATGAAAAAGTTCAAACCTTTGATTTCGTAATGACTAAATCATATACATAATCGAAACAAACTATTTCCTTATTTTTTATCAGTGATGATAATTTGGTGATGAAATGTTTTTGTGAGACATAATTACTTAAAAACGTCTACCCAGTGATTTTGAACGAACGTTTTCAAATTACGTTAAGGAAGACGTAAGTACATCAATTATCACAAAGTCTTAGTTTTTGCGTGGAAGGTCATAATTTTTACCCGAATCATGGAAGTCTTTTTTAATGCATCTTCCTCAGTTACTGGCAAAAGAACAGGGATATCTTGTCTACATAGTTGGATCATACATTTAAAAATAAGAGCTTTATCGTTTGATGTTAGATTATACTGCATTGTTGTACATATAAATCCTTGGACAATAAATCCTGCTTAATTATATGTCACACTGATTTGTCGCTCTGAACTTAAATTTCACAAAATAAGCATTGGTATACATTAGAATTGGGATTACGATTTTTTACTTTTTATTTTTAGGTACTGAATTCATGGAGCGGTTACATCGTCATATCGTTACATTTGTAGAAAATCATGTAAATCATGATGCTGACTGGCAATGTATTGATGTCATTTTATCTGGACATGATGTAAGTCTGTAAGCTTAGTTTGTTGATAACATCACTTCTCATGTTAAAAAATCCTACGTATAAGTTCTCTGTGTAATGATGCTAAGCCCTGAATGCAGCTTAAGTTTAAGTTCGAAAATGAGCTGATGTATACGTCTTTAAACTACATATATTCTCTGATCAGATCGCTTTTGTTTCACAGTTATTCTCAGTAATAAAATATTGTCATTTCATTTCGTTCACTGTCAAATAATAATAGCGCTATAATAATTAACGTTACTTATTAGTTAGGTCCATTTTCATAGCCCAATTAAACTTCATCCGTTCCGTAATGGTTAAGATTATTATTTAATCACCGGGTTACAAGTTCGAACGTAGCTTCTTTTTTACTTTGAAGACTATCATTTATTGTACCCGAAAATGGTACGTCAAAGCCGAGGCTTCCGTCATACTTCGTAGGTTGTTCAAAACCCGAGGAAGATTGACTCGCGAGGAACAGGCTGGGTTTCTTTCTGGCCGAGGATGTATTGATCATATCTTCACCCTCCGCCAAGTGTTAGAACATCGCCATACTTTTCAAAGGTTAACAATCGTAGTGTTTCTTGACATCAGGGCTGCCTTCGATTCGTTGGATAGGACTGTTCTCTGGGATTGTCTATTGAAGAAGGGTGTGCCTGAGAAGTTTATTAACATCCTAAAGGCCCTATGTACAAACACCTCAGGCAGAGTGAGGGCATACAACCACCTCTCTCCATTGTTCCATTCGAGTAGTGGGGTTAGACAGGGTAGCCCAATCTCACCATTCCTCTTCAACTTTGCCATCGATGACATTCTAGAAACAGCTCTGATGGATGTAAGTAATACTGGTGTGGATCTGTTGTCTAGAGAAAGACTTCTCGGCCTTCAATATGCGGATGATATTGTCTTACTGTGCGATAATGCCCAAGGCATGCAACCCGCACTTAATCAGTTAGCAATCAGTGTCTGTAAGTATGGTATGTGGTTTGTACCTTCGAAGTGCAAAGTACTTCTACAAGAGTGGCAGGATTCTAATCCTGTAATCACCCTGGATGGTGAGCAGATAGAAGTAGTCGAGAAGTTCGTATATCTGGGTAGCCGCATAAGTGCTGGTGGGGCTGTGAGTGATGAGATCAATGCACGTATAGTGAAAGCCAGAGCGGCTTATGCCAACCTGAGCCATTTTTGGTGCCTTCGTGATGTTAGTCTGGCTGTAAAAGGTCGGATCTACAACGCGTCGGTGAGAGCAGTCTTGCTCTATGCTTGTGAAACCTGGCCTCTCCGAGTTGAGGACGTTAGACAACTCTCTGTGTTCGATCATCGCTGTCTCCGAAGGATTGCTGACATTCAGTGGCAACACCATGTCAGTAATGCAGAGGTTCGGCATCGTGTGTTCGGGCACAGAGATGATAATGCAATTGGTGTCACCATCTTGAAACACCGACTTCGGTGGCTTGGACATGTTCTACGAATGTCGTCCCAGAGAATTCCACGTCGTGCATTATTTGCCGACTCTGGGACTGGTTGGAAGAAGCGGAGAGGTGGTCAGTGTATGACATGGTGTCTTGGCATGAAAGAAAGCTGCAAAGGACTGGCTTGCGTTGGTCCTTCACGACTCCCTGGTTGGGGTCCGAGAGATGGTGCTACACAGTGGCTAGGGACGTTATCAGATATGGCTCAGAATAGAAGCCAGTGGCGACCCTGCTGTAACCTTCCTTTACTTTCTTCATAAAAAAAGTGGTTGTATCTTCCTTAACTGAAAGATTTCTTCTGATTGTACCCTTCTGTTCCCCTACTATTGCTATTATTATTATTACACTACCTTACACCAATCTCTTCGTTATTGTTTTTTTTACGTTCCTCACTTTTTTTCTTCTTAGATTCTCATTGTTTTGTGTGGCGCATATATATTTGGCGCACTCCTGTACCAATATATATGTGTTCAAATAAATAAATAAATAAATTACCGAGTATAACCCAATCTACGTGGTTTTGAATCATACTGTTTTTATGAGGGCTAGTAATATTACCTGACTGCCCATACCAAATAGGTTGATGGAGGTGTTGTGTTCTTAGAGCTCCTGACGTTCTCATCCTGAGTTACGAATATTTTTTACCTTAGAAGTAGGCTGACTTAAATTCAAACGTCTTATCTGTTGGCCAAACACTAGTGTAGGAACTGTTAAGGAACCAACTTACTAGTTGTTTGCTTTATAACCGACTTTCAGTTACTGTTCAAAAAGATTAAGTGGTACTTTTAACTTCCATGGTAATTATTCTGACTTAATTGGCATGTATTCGTTTGGCATTTTTGTTTTGAGTAACATTACTCAATTGATTATACAAAAATTAGGATAAACTAGTAGCGAAAATATGTATAAAGAGATTTCATTTTTATTTTATAATTAACAAGTGTCCTGGAGAAGGCGAACACAAAATTCGGGAGTATATGGCATATCGTCGTGGTCTACCAAATTACCGTCCTAATGAGCGTCACTGTATATACGGAATGGACGCTGACTTGGTAAGCCGTATGGTGCTAAGTTGTTTTTATCCCTAATATTTTTGTTTGGCTTCTGATGTTGATGCGATTTTTTAGTCATCCCTAGATTGTTAATATTGTTTTAGTTTGAACTGGACACAATGTGAGCCTCAGGAGGAATGTCTGTAGCTTTATTCCAGCCTATTCCCACACCAGAAGACGTCGCCCATCGAGGTAGGTGGTGGTTGTGCATAAGTTTTCGGAAGTCCAACGCACTTCAGTTGAAGATTTACTACCTTATCACTCAATTTGTCACAATTACCTAGCACTCTGTCCCTAATTCCAGTCATTGCTTACTCGTTAGTCCCAAAATACGCGAGCAATGCTTTCAAGACACCTTTGGTTGAATACTAGTAACCTACAAAGATCCTCTATTCTTAATGACTGTTTCATACCCATGAAGCAGAACGGAGCGAACTGTTGTTGCATTGTTGCTTAAGGTGGTCGGAAGACTGCATTTTGTCAGCGTCTTCACCAAACAGAGCTATATCATCTGCGTATTCTAAGTCAGTAACTGAATATCCTGGTAGAAGATCAATCCCTGAAAAGTCAGAAGATGAAATTATTATATCTAAAAGCATATATATGACAATGTTAAGAATCGGGAAGACAGACAACCCTGACGAACACCACCTGAAGTAACCAATTGCGATGACAGTTCACCATGAGCTCTGACTAGACCAGTAGTGTTTCAGTAGAAAGCCTGTACAAGGTTAATGTACTTGTTTGGTAAACTATTCAACAACAGACATCGTCACAGGACCTCACGATTAACGGAATGGAACGCCACTTTACGGTCAAGAAATACAACTGTAGTCAGACGTTGAAAAGTATGTCTGTGTTCCAGAATTTGCCGAAGGGTGAATATTCGGTCAATAAATTCATGTCCAGGTTTGAAACCAGCCTGGTTTTCTTGGGTTTGCTCTTCACGGACTTTGGTTAGATATGAAATTATTATTGAGGTTAATATTCTATACACTATATCGGTGAAAATGATTTCTTTGTGATTATCACAAGACGATTGTTGTCCTATCAGTGATGGAGACCAATCAGATGGGATCACGCCTAGTTCTCAGATTTCAGCTATGATCTCGATTAATGTAACTGCTAAAACTGGACTACCACTCTTTAAGATTTCGGGTTAATCCGTCAGACACTGCTGCTCTCCCTCGCTTCAGATTGCTGATAGCCTTTTCAACCTCACTAATAGTTGGAGGACTTACATCAGTTTGCAATTCAGGTTGTTTGGAGATAGTGGGTAACTGAATGGTGCTTGAAAACCGTTTGAACTGTTCTCTAAATGAAATGCCATGGATTGGTACTGTAGTTCTACCATACCGTCATGGCACAACAGAAGAAATTCAAAGAATCTTAAAACACCACAGAATTAAAGTGTATTACAAAACAACGAACACACTACGTAATACTTTAGTTCGCCTGAAAGAAAAAATCCCTTTCATGTCCACACAGAACTGCGTCTACAAATTAGGTTGTATCGATTGTGATGCCTATTATATTGGAGAGTCATCCCGCGAAATCGTGACTAGAGCCAAAGAACATATTAGGTACACAAAGAAACCTCCTAACAATCCGGTAGAATTGAACCAACTTCAAATTAAATCGGCAATAGCAGTTCATGCCATTTTCAACAACCACCAAATCGATATTAAAAATATCAAAATATTGCAAAAAGGCTTTTCCAACTACAAAGAAAGGAGGGTAGCTGAGGCGTTCCACATAATGCTTAATCCTACTTCTCTCAATAGAAAAGAAGGCCTTACCATACACCCTACTTGGACCATCTATCCTAACCATTCAGTCTGATCGTATTTACAATTTCACACTTTCATATTACAAATTTAAACTCTATCCTTTCTTACCATAAAGGTCACATAAGTTTTCATTCTTAAACAATGCACATATACATACACACACAAATTTACATACTTATCACTTATGAATCACCTTGACAGAAATGACATGACATCAACTTGTTCAGACCTGTTTTTTAATTGATCAAATATTATTCTTGCATTGTTCCGTTGTACTATTTAAACTTGGATTAATTTTAATTTGGTTATTTATTCTCTGAAGAAGTGACTTACACTAAGCCACGAAACGTCAGAAAATCCAATTTTCTACTCATTGGGATATTACAAATATATTATTTTTATTTATGTTCTCTAAATTGTTCTGCCTGTAGGTCCAATCTCCTGGATTAAAAGTTGGTAATATTCTCACTAACAGCCGAATTTTTAATATCTGTTTCTTTGGTACGTCTGAACAGCTGTCTACGGTTACCTATCGCCACTGCCTTTTCCATCTCTTCTGCTTTTGCTACCTACCACTGCTCATGATTACTGAGTAGGCTTTTTATCAGCCTTAGTTTAGGCCGCCTCCGCGCCTCGTCATGTTCAAGACCAGATGGTCTAAATTTCCGAGCATCTATCAGTCCAGTAGACGCCGCTGAAATCCACTGATTTTTCCTAACCTTTACTGGTAGATATCACTGCTGTTTTCACAGCTCTTTGAATATCATGCCAAGCTACCTCAGGGAGAATATCATTTTCACTATTGATTAACTCTTTCTCTAGTTGTTCCTAAAATATATCCTCAACTTTTTCATTACTAAGTTTGACTCTAAGGTGTTTTGTTGCTATTGGTTTTTTCTGTCAAGTAAGACTCAGATACGTGCGTGCTCGGATAAGCGCATGATCTGAGTCTAAATATGTACTCTAAAATGGACGAGTCATATATCGAGCCCATCCAACAGTGGTTGATGGCAACGTGATCTATTTGAGTCCATTGTTCGTTTGATTATGGAGGTTGCTACGTAGACTATGTTTTACCATATGCTTAAGGTTGGTGCTTGCTAGAAATAGAAATTTATCTGAACGTGATTGCAACAGACGGTTTCCATTATCTGTTCGCCGAGCCGCAACACTATAAGATCCACCCATGTGCTTGGCTACTAAAATCACTAGACACTTACTACATCAGAGAATTTAACTTTTTCGAATGAAATTGGAAAGCTTCATATAAAGTTCATCTTTTACTTTATCCCAGGTGCAATCGGTGTGAGCGTAAGCAGCGACAAAGAATAGGCAATGGTATGTATCCCTATCTTTCCGAGTTCTTACTGTTCCGTTTAGTCAGACAGCGCACATGCAACCGTCTATTGGAATGCGTGATGGTAAATATATGTGAGAAGAGTTATTTGCGGGGATAGGAGAATTAATAATAAATGAGGGAGGGATTTGACCGTGAAAATGATGATCCCGGGCGCTGTTAGAGGTATGAGGACAGTTGCCACTTCCAGGTTGCTCTCATCGTAGAAGGATATCTCTTCTTGAGATACGTGAAAGATAAACTGGATTAGTGGTGATCTTAACGACCTGGGAGCGTAACCACAGAGCACAAGAAACAACTGCTTGAGGTCGGTAGCACATGGTCTTTTTATGGTAGGTTTATGATGTATTAGCTCTCCACTTCAAAAGTTCTTTCTATCGAAGACGGAAATCCGAGGGTTAAGGCCACGAGTGACGTATTGGGGTCGATCTTATCTAGCCCTTTCCTTTCGTTGTTCGAAGGAAACACCTTACTGCTGTTACAAACCTTTTCAGTCAGCAGTGTGATTTCGCTTTCGGACTTTAAGTTGCTACTTTCAGTGTTACCACTCTCGAACCAACCCGCCTGGCATGATAAGACCTAGAGGGACATGTGTTCCGGCCAATATAGCTCTGTTGAGTCATCACTATAGATAAGCGTTACCACTACGTCACGGTAGCAACTACTGTTGGGACACCCTCAATCAGATTCACTGTGATTTACTGTTTATGGGTAGTATATGAGAAAATGTATTCGAGTATCGCTAGTAAACACATTTGTTGAATCACAGCTAATAAACAGTGCTTTCAAACCTAAATCTAACCATTTGAGCATGGGAAGGATTTTTTAGGTATTTTGAGGGGTGCTCCTCAAGTGTGTGATCATCTTTCCCATTAGGAGATTATTTATATTACTTATAGCTCACTTTTTGGGCTTTTAGGTCGATTCTCAAACACTAGAAGTTTCAAATGAGCAACAGATGACGTTATGTTATTTGAGTGTATATTCCAGACCATTGATTAACTTAATGTGAGAACTGCATGCTAAACAGTTATTCTCCTTGTCAATCAATTAGTCAGTCAGCTACAACGTTGAACCAGGCACATATATGCATCGGTTCAAGTTGCCACACCTCATTAGCACAACAACATGAACACCGAATTCATAGTAGTTACTTCAATGGTAGTAATATATAAAAGAAAGATTGCATATAAGGATATAATACAGGAAGAAAGAATTAGTTGATAGAAAGAAGGATAAGAAGAAATTTTAATCTCACGGTTTAAAAGAAGACAAAGAGTGTATATATCTACGCCATTGTGATCGATTCTGAGCCATGTCACCGAGAATCTCCAACCATTGGTTAAGATAGTCGCGCAGACCCCAACCAAGTAGTCTGCGTCTACCAACATGGCTCAGACTAGAAGTTAGTGACTTCAAGCACTGATGCCATGTTTTGGTTTGGCTGCCTCTAACTTTCTTCCAACCATCCCCTACACCGGTTAGCATTGCACGTCGTGGTAATCGGTGTTCAGGCATACGTAATACGTGGCCCAACCATCTCAGTCGATGAAGATTCATAACCTCATCAACTGATTTACCATCATTTCCTAATACCCTGCGTCTAACCTCACCATTACTTACCCGGTGATCCCAGCAGATGCGAATACTAGTGGCTTACGAGTATCTTCTACACTTAATGGCCACGTTTCGCATCCGTAAAGTAAAACGGAACGAGCCGTCGCGCAGTATACTCGTCCCTTAATTGATAAACGGATATCTCGCCTTCGCCATGGGTGACGTAAGTTTGCAAAAGCCGAACGGGCCTTCTGAATCCGTACTGAGATTTCGGGTTGATCAAACTTCCAAAATAAGTGTTGTCGACACGTTCGACTACTTCACTCCCTATCCCTAGTTCAGGTGTTGACGCAGGCCAGTCCTGAAGCAACAACTTCCATTTAGAGGGTGAGAAACGCATACCAAACATCCTGGCATTGCTGCTCAGTGCTACCAATACTCGGAATTCGGTCGGCGTCTTCACCAAACAGGAATATCATCTGCGTAATCTAAGTCGACAAGTGGACTTCCTGGTAGGAGGTCAATGGCCAAGAATTCAGTCAATGAGAACGTTATTTCCATCAGTATGTCTATGATGAAGTTGAACAAAAGTGGAGATAGTGGACAGCCTTGTTGGACACCACCTGAGGTTGTAAAAGCAGACGACAGTTTGCCATAAGCTCTGGCTCAACTTGTAGTGTTCAAGTAAAGAACCTTCACAAGGTTTATGCGATTTTGAGGTATACCTTTCAATGACAGACACTGCCACAGAATCTCTCGGTCTACAAAGTCAAATGCTGCTTTTAAGTCAAGAAAGACCACTATTGTTGGACGCCAATAAGCTGCTTGTGTTCTGAAGTCTGAGGAATAGTGAATATGTGGTCGATACAGCCACGACCAGGTCTGAAGCCATCTTGATTCTCTCGTGTTCTCAGTTAACGGGTCTTAGTTAGGCATCCGACGATTATTGAGGTTAGTATTTTAGATGCTATGTTAGTCAAACTAATCCTTCTATGGTTATCACAGGATGATTTTAACCCCCTCTTGTATATTGGGTCAATCAGTGATTGTGACCAATCAGGTGGGCTTACGTCCAACTCCCAGATTTTAGCTAAAATATTAGACAACCTGATCACTAAAACTGGGCCATCATACTTAAAGACCTTTGGAACCAATCCATCTGCGCCAACTGTTCTTCCTCGCTCCAGATTAGATATAGGCTTTTGGACTTCAGCTGGAGTCGGGAGACCTACTTCAGTGTTCCATGCAGACTGTCTGGGAATGGTGGATAGTTGTAGAGTAACAGAAGGTCAGCTGAACTACTCCTTAAAGTGTTCCGCCCATCGTTCTAAACGTCTGGACTAAGAGCAGATAAAAGTGTCGTCTTTTTTCGAGATAGTCTCACTTATACTCGACTTATTAATTTCAGTTTCTTTTATTAGTCTGGAATGCTGTATTGTGTTTCCTACAGCCGCTGCCATCTCTCCTTGAACGTTTTTAATTTTGTCTGAATAACATCTCATTCATTCGCGTTCTTTTCTTTTTCCGCTTAGATATTTTTGGGTTTAACAACTCATGAAATCAACATTTGTATCTTGCGTGAGAACGTTGTTAAAGCCCAGTAAGTTTCAACTGTACTTCTGTAATTATTCCGTTCTTCACTTAACTCAGGAAAATCTTATACTTAGTTAGTTTCATATCAGTTCAGGTCTCCTGTCTGTCAAGAGCTTATCTTGACATCCCAATAGTCGTAATTCAGTAATCATATGTAGATTTTCGCATCATTTTAAGTTTGAGTTATGAAAATACTGTTCAATTCAAAGTCAGTTGAACAAAATATTTTATTGCAAATATACATTTGTAGCTAACTTAACATATACTACTCATGATAAAACACGATTGGTTTATATAAATCATAAATACAGCCAAAAATATGTCATATTAACATTTTAAAAGCCTGAAAATCCTTAAATAACTATTTAATGGATAAGTCGTCTATCATCAGTCATGTACAGCTAATGAGTGTTACTTAGTAGATTTCATCTTTCCTCTATTACTTACCAAGCGTATATATATACTACTGTACAGCCATGATGAAAAACCAATTGAAGAATTTTTTTTGCTTCCTTCCCCTCAGTTTTTACTTTGAATTTATTTTTGTTTTCCAACTTTAATAGAAATTGTTCGGCTGATAATAAACCTTTCTGTATTACTTATTTGTCAGTTCTTCGGGAGTATATTGATTTGGAATTTACGGAATTAAAGGTTGGTAATTAGTGTTTTCTGTTTTAAGTTTTAGAGATATAAGTTGACTGAGATTGACTAATTGATTAAATTAGGAATAATTTGTGTATTGAGCCGATTTTCAACGAATTCTTTACAAAATAAAATAACATGGAATACGCGTTGTTGTATACATGTATGTTATGTATGATGAAGAATCGTAAATCAAACGGACAACTTTTATTGGTGGTGGAGGCGGTATATTTTCGCTGGGCAGTACAGTTTAATTATAAAGATTTTATTGTTGTTCTGTACAACACTAGTGCCCATTTCAAATAGTAGAATTGCACTTAATCACTTCAAAACTCCCCTGTAAAAATTTATATAAAAAGTACATTTAGCTAATGTAGTCAAACGTTTATCTATAAACATTTCATACTTTTCATAAAGCATACTCAAACAATATCTTTTTAGACCGTCCACAATTATCGATAACGAATTAGTTAAGCTTATGATATCGAGAACATTTTTATTGGTAAAATATTTGTTGAACTATTTCTTAACGTTTATTTAAACTAATTTCATTGTTCTGTTAAAAATGTTTTACTATTTCAATTACTGAAAATATCAATTTAAGTCAAATATTTCGAAAATTTTACAATTAACAACATTCTTTTCGTTTAAATAATGTATTTCTAATGCAGAAGATATTGCCGTTTCCTTATGATTTGGAACGCCTGATTGATGATTGGGTTTTTATGGCTTTTCTATTGGGAAATGATTTCATACCTCACATACCTAATTTGCATATACATGCAGAGTCTTTGTTAACTGTCTGGGATACATATCAAGTTGTATTACCGAAATTGGACGGTAAGTTTTATTTAATCTATTCACATTATCTTTACTTTTTATCAATCCTTTAATCAGTGGATTAAAAACAAAATCGTTTTCTTGAGAAGCTCTTTCACAAAATGTACAGAGTTCAAAAGATTTATCTTAAAGTTGCTGGAGAAACTTAAATTTCACTATTTATTTACTAGCCTCCATTGATTAAAAATAGACCGATCGGGATATTTGAGTGTGCCTTACACCAAACATACTGCCGTTAAAAGTTTGTCCTCCTAACGACAATACTTGTCAAAAAGTTTTCCCGTTGGTCTTGAGTTAAAATCTAGTATAAATACCTATTTCTCTTTTAGGAAGCATATACTTTTTTGTAATAATCTTCAAGGGGTAACAAACACATATTATCTAAAATTTATAATACAATCCATTGCGTTAATAATGTGGTTTTGTATATTATTGTTTTACTTCTGAATTAAGAAATAACTAAAAGGTTTCGTACACTTTAGTAAATTCATTAATATCGTTCTGGTGGTGTAGTTAAATATTTTTGATTCGATAGTATATTAAGAGTACTGTGTGGAATTTTCAAAAAAGATATTAATTACTAGCTACATATGTGTACAGTGAGTAGGGCCTAGTAGGCAGAAGTACCTAAAGTTGACTGAAAAGATTAACGAAATTGAAAGTACATATTAGTAGCATAATACCACTACTCTATATGTGACTAGTAAGTTAGCTACTCGGATAAACGTTTGTTTTCATTAGTAACTAAACCAGAGAAATGATTTCCAGTCGTAGAATATTTGCAGTTGTAACAAAACAAACATTTATTTAGCTTGTTTCCCACCATTTGATACTATTTTTTGTGTAAATTAGCTTCTCATCATTAGTATTATTTTCGGACATATGTCTTTAACAATAGGTTACCTTGTGGAGTTTGGATATTTAAATCTTCCACGATTTCATAAATATCTGGAAGAACTTTCTCAGGTTAGTAATTTTCCTTTTAATTTACATTATTTTAAAATGCATTATATATATAATTTCACTGAGGTACGTTTATTCTTTAAAATACGGAATCGATAAGGTTTCCTGTAATGGTTCACGACAAAATTACCCTTTTATTTGATTTACTAGCGGTCATGAACATGGAAACCAGCAATCAATTATTTGTTCACGGTTTACGTACTTTGTATTTAAACTACAAAAGTCTAATGTAGTGGAATGAAGTCATTCAATGAATAACAATTTCAATTAAATGTTTATCTTATTGTCTGTTAGTACTATCTTTGCCAAATTCAAACACTATCACAAGGAGACCGGTAACCAAATTGTAAAACTGTAGAATGTTTCCGCTTCAGAAAGACAGGGTTTCTTAAGCGAATGGCGGAATAAGTTTCACTAAAACCATCTATACCGAACTTCACAATTCGATAAACACAATCACTCCACCAGTAATCTACACCTTCATACTTCGCTTTAATTTTCTGCATATAAAGAGTGCTCTCGTGCTACACCATTCCATGATCTGTCTAGTAACTTGAAATCCCGAGTAGTTTCCAGTGGTTTATATTTCCATATGAATACAAATTTATGCTCCCGTTTATGCTAACATGGTATGTGCGAAGCATGTAGCGTAGGTTTGGTTTTTTCTGAAGTGTTTGGTCAGTCTGATCTATATGTTATAGAATAATAAAGCTACTTTGTTTACAGAAAAATGTATTCCTCCTATAGTTTATTAGTTTTTATCACTTTTCAGTTTGAGCGTGATTGGTTCGAGGAACGTGAAGCAGCTTTCCATTGGATGCGAGGAAAACAAGGTGCTCGTATGGCAAGTGAACTAGAAAAACTCGGTTTATCATCTGAGGATAATCAGATGCCATCTCATAAACCCCTCAGTTCAACAGGAAAGCGTTTCCCCGAAATGACTAAAAGTAGTTTATTAGATAAGAAAGATGGTAAGTGTTGTGGTTTTGTTGCTTTTTTAACGGCACATTGAATGGAATACATCGTTATTAACTTATCACTATTGGTTTTGTTGAAACCGAGGGGTTTTTAAAAATGGTTCTCATAGCTTGCTTTCAAATAATCGTAAAACCCGGTCAATTTAGACATTTTAGTTATTAAGAAATTAGTCAAACTAAGTGTCATATAATCACGTTCGCCATAGCGACCTGTTGATTAAGTGTGTAACGACGCTGTTATCGGCGTAGACTTGATATACTTACATTGATGCAATGTTGATAAAAGATTGCCTAAACAAAAGTTAGAGCGATTAGAAATTATTAGCTTTACTTTCAGCGTTGATAATCATAACTCATTAGAAGTTATCACCTAATTTACTTTTGAAAATCATGAGTAATCTGTTACACAGTGTGTTTATTCGTATTAATACTAAATTTTTCTAAAATCTATTTCCATACTTCAGAATAAACAAAGAAGTGGGAATCGTAGCCAGTGGTTTGGTGTTTATAGTTAAGCCTATTTACTTTCAAGCTTCCTAGTTGTCGTATAGTTCTCTCATATTTCCTGTTTCTGTAGCTTTTCCCGCTGTAGTTGCTAGGTCTTTCACATATTCCAACTTACTAACCCTAATAGTCATTTTTTCCAGTTTTTCTGTTTCTGTATGTTCAGGTCGTTCCTAGGCTTTCTCTGCTTTTGCTTGGCTGTTGTTGACAATAGTCTTCTTGTTTTGCGTCGCTTGAATCTTGCCCAGTATATTGCTGGAATCCCGTCCCTTATTATGGTGCTTCTCAAGGCTGAGCACCTGACGTGTTGAAGTTATTGCTTTTTTAATCCCTTTTCAGTCATTCCCCATGATGATTTATTGTTCCATGAGTAGATCTTATAAAGCTGGGAATTTTTTATCGGGAGTTACCTGGAATTCACCGAAGTTATTATGTCGAAGAAAGTCTGTATTAAACCTTTGTAATGCTGTTTGTCCATTTATCCAGTGTTTCTTTAGCTTCAGTTTTAGCTTGACCACCATCAGATGGTGACCTGAAATTATATCAGCTCATCTCTTTGCTTTCAGGTCTTCTATGGACTTGAACTTTTGTTATGTAAAGAATTTGATTATCTATAGTGTGGTCCGGTGAATCTCATGTAGCTTTGTACACGTTTTTGGAAGAAAATATTGTTGTAAGTATACCGATCTACCGACCACTCACCTTTCTCGGCCCTTTCTTCTAATTCATATTTCCCCATAATGAGTTCCTACCCAGCGTTGTCCATCCTGACCTTGGCGTTTACGTCTCCCATCGTCAGGATGGTCGTTTTTTTCTGAGTAGTTCTCTATGATAGGTTACAGCCTCGTGAAACTGATTTTTATAGTCTCCACTGCTCTCATTGGTGGGCACGTACCACGTAGCATTGTTATCCCTTCCGTCTTTTTTAATCCGTCTTTGATGATCCTGGAGCCATGAGATTCCCATCCTATAAGTGCTTTTCGGCTTCTTTGGATAATATCAATTCGACTCTTTGTGTATGCATGACATTTTATTATTCATAACCAAATCACAAAAAAACCTGTCTCGAAGCAAGTATTTTCTGTTCCGTCGGCTTTCACCTATTCCAAGCAGAAGAAAGCGAAAACAAGACAGCTATTAACAGCAGCCGAACAAGAACAGTGAAAGTCAAGGTATAAGCTAAGTACACAAAAGCAAACAAGCAAGTGAAGAAGAGCTATAGAGCTGATAAACAGAAATATGTGGAAGATGTAGCAACGACATCAGGAAAAGCTGTAAGAAAAGGAAACATGAAACAACTTCATGACACGACGAAGAAACTGATAGGGAAATATACTAAACCAGTGAGACTGTCCAAGAACAAAGAAGACAAGCTAATCACTGAGATTCAAGAACAGAGGAACAGGTGAGTACAACACTTTGTTTAAGGAACTCTTGAATAGATCAGCCCAGTTAAATCCACCGGACATCGGAGCGACACCTACAGACCTTCCTATAGATGTCACTCCACTAACGGTGGAAGATGTTAGGATGGCCATCGGACAAATTAAGCGTGGAAAAGCAACAGGACCTAACAATAAACCAGCTAAAGCATTGAAGCCAGACATAAGTAACTGCAAAGATGCTCCACGTTCTATTCAGGAAAATTTGGAAGGACGAACAAGTGCCGACGGACTGGAAAGGATACCTCATCACAATACCAAAGAAAAATATGAGCAAATGTGAGAACTACAGAGGCATCACACTACTATCGGTACCAGGAAAGATTTTCAACAAAGTGTTGCTGAACCGGATGAAAGATTCAGTAGACGCCCAGTTTCGAGATTAGTAGGATGGATTCCGTAAGTATTGGTCGTGCGCAGACCAGATCTAGACACTATGGATCCTTATTGAACAATCAATTGAATGGAACTCGTTACTATACATCAACTTCCTTGACTATGAGAAAGCGTTTGTCAGTGTGGATAGGAGAACATCATGGAAACCTCTTTGACATTAGGATGTACCTGAGATCGTTAACATCGTACAAAATTCTTAGGATGGACTACACTGCAAAGTGCTGCATGGAGGACAGCTGACAGATGCATTCCAAGTAAGGACCAGAGTCAGACAAGACTGCCTGCTGTCCCCCTTTCTCTTCCTTCTAGTAGTCCACTGGATTATGCGGACCACTTCTCGTGAGAAGTACAGAATATAATGAACAGCTTTTATGCGGCTAGACGATTTGGATTTCGCAGATGACCTAGTTCTATCCCATGCACACGAACAAATGCAGGTGAAGACAACCAGTGTAGCAGTAGCCTCTGTATCAGTAGGCCTCAACATACACAATGTAAAAAGCAAGATCCTCAATTACAACACCGGGAACACCAACCCAATCACATTTGATGGGGAAACGTTGAAAGAGGAGGAAATTTTCACGTACCTGGTCAGTATCATCGATGAACAAGGAAGATCAAATGCAGATATGAAAGTAAGGATTGGCAAAGCAAAGACAACATTCCTACAGTTGAAGAACATATGAAACTCAAAGCGTATGTCAACCACCGTCAAGATCAGAATCTCCAATACGAACGTCGCGACAGTTCTACCGTGCGGTGCTAAAACTTGAAGAACAACCACCACCGTCATCAAGATACTACAATTATCTATCAACAATTGCCTACATAAGAAACTGAATGTCCGTTGGTCGAGTACCATTAGCAACAACTTACTGTGGGAGAGAACAAGCCAGGTTCCATCTGATGAGGAAATTAGGAAAAGACTTTGGAAACGGATATGACATACATTACGAAAATCACCAAGCTGCATCACGAAGGAAGCGCTAATTTGGAATCCTGAAGGGGAACGGAAAAGAAGACCAAAGAATACGCTGCCCCGAGAATTAGAAGCAGACATACAGAGGATGAATAGCAACTGTGAAGGATTGCCGAGGACATAGTTGAATGAAGAATGCTGATGGGCAACCCATGCTCCTCGACGAGGGGTAAAAGGCGTAATTAGGTATGTATTCCAAACAGAGCCACGTTATGTCTTCTCGTTTCCACAGCTATTTGAATGGTCATCTCTGTCACCCACACTGTGCAGATATTCCATGTTCCTATGTTAACTGTTACTCTGAATGTCAAGCTCATGGTTTCCGAAGAATCTCGGCTTTCAACGTGAGACATCATAAGTCTTCTAATTAAAGATCCTTCAACTCCTAGTTCAATGTCTAAATAGTTTAGATGATTTTTTTGATCGTCAGCTTTCCGGCAAGTTTTTTAACTATAGAGTGGAGTTGATAACCCCATACTCAACCATCTTCCTTTATCCGGGTTTTGGACTGCAACAGTACTGGAGGGCTCCTGGCGGAGCAGAGTATCTTAAATGATAATGTCATTTTTAACTTTTTATTTGTCGTTGACATTAATCTTACTAATCTGTGTGACTGTCATTTTGTACATATGTGTGAATAAAAAACAATCGGTTTAAATCTATTCCACTTCGCACGGTTTTCACAAGTCTTTAGTATCGACGGCTTTGTACCCATTCTTTATGGTTTATTGCTTGAGCCATCTAATACTTCCTGCTGAATTAGACTTTCTTATTAGCAATAATAACTTCGAAGTCATTATACAGAGTTCTTCAAATGGACGTATTCTTTATCCATCGCAGATCACTATGGATGGAAATTTTGTGTTTATTTTCTACTCCTAGTAGTAGTTTTGTACGATGTTTCAGCTACTGTGTTTAATAAGTGACCGTTTAGCGACACAGTTTCCAACCCGAACACAAATTAACACATAGCTTAGATCTTTATAGTACAAAATATCAATAATAGGTTTATAAATAATTCATAAGCGTTTGTGAACGGGAAAAAATATGACACGAGTTTTTAGGTCAACTGAAAGATTAGCGCTAAGACAATATTAAAATACTACCATAAATGAATTATTCGATAAGTGTGCATTGAAAATATATCAGCTAGTTCACTGGACGACAGTTTTTAAAGTTTTCTCTTTACATCTACTCACTTATCTATTATGGAAAATGCGTGTAAATTTACAACGATTTATTCAAATCTGTTTTAATCTATTATGTAACGCTCTATGTAGAACACTAAAAAACAAATACGAATTAAACAATTCACTTTGTGGATACAAAAGCGAAAATATTCTTCGTTGAAACCTTACCTTTCCGAACTGGCTCCAGTTAAAGTTTTTTCTCTCCCGACTAACGGTATTTCCAATGTCACTAGTTGACGAACACGTTAGAAAAAATAAACCTTGTTACACAGAAAGTTAAATGATCCTATCTTTAGTTCAGTTTGTACTATAGTATATCACTGAACTACTTCTACAACATTTATCTTAGTATTTTTATTTTGTAGATTTCGATCAACTGACTGATTTGATAGATTTATTCGCACCTCAATCTGATTGTCATTATGATAATGTTATGTTAGATGAAGCCGCTGAATTAATGGAAGAAGGTGTTGTTATTTCATTAAGGACACATGATGATAAAGTCAAGCAGTTATATAATAAAAGTGATCCGTCCAATAGAACTTCCCATAATAATACACATAACACAATAGGCGATAATCATGATCATGAGGATAATATAGATGATGAAACAGAAGAGGAAATAGAAGAAGACGAGAATGTCACCTATGTTGAAAGTGATACAGATCTAGATGAAGATTTATTAGTTTATAAAATGCATCGACGTGATTATTATTCCTCGAAACTTGGTATACAACTCGATGAGATGTCAGGTGATCTTGGTGAAAATTCCACATTAATGTCTTTAATTCAAGATTATATCCGAATGTTACAATGGATATTGAATTATTACTTTCTAAATGTGGCTGATTGGGATTTTTTCTATGCTTATCACTATGCACCATTTGTGCATGATCTTATTTTATATACAAAAAAGTTTGAGAATTATCAAAATTTCAATGATATTAAATTGTCTTGGACAAACTTTCAAACAAATTCACAACCAGTTTTACCGTTTGTTCAACAATTAATGATATTACCATCGGATTCAGCTTATATAGTTCCAGCACCTTATTGGGAATTAATGATTTCCCCATCTTCCCCATTAGCTGAATTCTTTCCTAGAGAATTCGAAACTGATATAAATGGGAAAATAGCATCATGGGAGGCTGTAGTGGTAAGTCTATTAACACTGCGTAAATATGCATGCATGATTCCATCGGAAAGGGTATCGAATTATTGATAAAACTTCTAAATAAATTTGTGTAAGGTTTGGAAAAATGATATGTTATTTTTAGATAAATGACTAACCTAAATAAATATATTACAAAGGAAAACCTTTTTGTTCAGCTGGAATTTCATCAGCATAACGCCAGTGTTATGTTTTCGCTAGGAATGCATTGAATTTTTTTTATTGGAATTACTTGAATAAAAGGTGTTCGAAATTTTAAGCATACAGAATTATCATTTACGTATGAGGTTTTTCACATTTAAATCCCATTCAATAAATGCTAGCAATAGACTGATAATTTTGATAAATTAGTAATGCCAGCAAAATTGAACTACCAATCAAATAATTTGTAATAGTTTGCATTTGTTTTTCTTTCGTCACTTGATGGCTTTGGTTTGCAGTTCCTTACTAATCTAATTGTTCCTAAAACTGTATTGTGTACATTGCAAACCCGTTGATTAGATTGATCAGATATATCTATAACCTATTCCAAGTGAAGCAAGTGTACGCAAATATTCAGAAAAGTCACTCACCTTTCGCATAAATATGAATTTTTAATTCATTTTTGCCATAATCATTGGTCGTTCCTGAGTTTTTGGGAATGGAAACCCTTCATTTGGCTTCAGTATACACCAATATCTAGATAAGTTGTCCCATGGTTTTGTTTGTGAATTTCTTAGTCAAGCTACCAAGCATTCATAGTTTCATATCATATGAACAAGTTCCCAGGTCATTTGTTAACTTGTCATAGTTTTATATTTTATACTAACAATTTATTTCATAATTTGACCTATTTTGTTGTTCTGTACCTATATTCACAGTTAATTCCGTTTTTGGATCAGCAACTTCTCATAGATGCAATGAAGGATGGAAACACTAAACTAACTGAACAAGAAAAACAACGCAACCAACATAAATCTCATTTGTTTTATCGTGCTTGTCCAATTGGACGTGTAAAATCTCCTGTAGAATTAATCAATTATGATTTTTATCGTAAATCTGTCAATTGTGGTGAATCAGAATTAAGTCAGTTTTATGCTTCAATCACTAGATCTGTTGCTGATGATTTTCCAAGTTTATCAAGACTACCGTTTACCCACAAAATTCAAAGAATACCAGTTTATGTAAGATATTTTTCTAGCCTATATATACTGTAATAACGAAAGTTAGTCACATCAGAAATGTTTTTAAACATCTATTTGGATTATTATTATTATTATTATTATTATTATTATTATTATTATTATTATTTGAGTAACCGTTATCACTCATTCTATAATGGATTATCGTTTCGTCTACTTCACAAGTGGCACAAACCGACCAAAAGTAGATGAGCTTCCTGAATAAGTGTTAAGGATTTATCAGACATCAATCCACTGGTATTGACGAGCCTTCTAAGATAAATGTTTTCCACTTACAACTACCGTACTCCTCATGATCAGTCTTGGTGATGACACAGATCATTTTTGAATCAACATTTTGCATTCTAGAGGGAGAAAAACGTATCCCAAATATGATTGTATTTTTGCTCAAAGCGTTCAGAAGGTTATGTTTTTTGTCAGCCTCTTCATCATATTTGATTGTCAACTGTGCACTCCATGTCGATTATTGAGTTTTCGATAAAGGAAATCAATCCCTGGGCAGTTGGTCGAAGAAATTTGGTTTATTTTAGGATGTATGTGAGGAAGCTTAATCGGAATGCGCAAAATAGACAGTTCTGACAAACATCATCTGCAGTTACCAACTCTTAGCGGTTTACCATTCGCTCTAACCTAATACTGTTCTGTCTAAGAGCCCTCATAGACTCATTGCCATTTCAATTCACCTTATAATCACTGTGTCAGAAACCCGTTGTTCGACGAAGTGGAACGGTACCTTAAGGTGTGTGGGAATTCGATCGATACATTCATATTATTATTTGTTTTAGAACAAGTAATCATCACCACTTTTTTGGTAAAAACTGCTTCTAGTTTGGTATTTCTGTTATTTTGGGCAGCTCGGTGGTTTTCTTATTTAGCGCTGTGGTTTGATTTGTGAATTCTTCACTACTCCATACCAATACAGAGTTGGTCGATTTATGTGCAGCAGAAAATCTCTAAATACGTAATCAGGTACATATGTACTACTAGTCAGTTTCTGCCCTTGTCTGACTGATATTAAATGTTAACGTTTTTTGAATAAGTGTTTTATCTTACTTATCAGTAGAATTAAAATCACGTTGCTTGTTGAATACATGTATACTGGAGTTCTAAAATGCTTATGAGTTTGCCGATTGTTCTGTGGGTCTAGTCTGATACAAGTCTTGTTACATAAATCATCGTATTTATTCTAACGTACCTGTAAAAAAAACGTTTGAAGCTCGTGATTTAATTACATGTTTCCATTTGATCTTCTACAAATTAACACTTGTTTATTATTCCTGTGTATTAAAACTAGGTTTTTGAACGCCCTAGTAAATTAGATAGTATGGCGTTAACAATGAAACCTCATCCAGAATTTTCAAAATATGATAGCCTTGGTCAGTTAGCTGAAAGTATTCTTGGGCGTCCTATTCGTGTTCGTTGGCCATTCTGTGCTACAGTGATGCCTGTTCGATTGATGAGCACTAGCGAAATGTAAGAATGTGCAATATACACTTTCACATTAATATAATTATAATCCTAGTCAATTTTACATTGTATTTCGTTAGTACTTTTAAATTTTGGCTTTTTATATGACGAAATTGTAGTTTTCAGAACTGCTCATTAATCTGTTTATGATCTTATATTAAATATGGTGTTTATTTCTTGTAAGCGAGTAAGTCAGCAGCTCGAAACTTTGACTTGAGTAAATAGTTTGTGCGAAGTGTTATCGACGTCATATTGGACTTGTAAGACCGATTTTAAGTGGAGTTGGTACATGTTCGAAATTAGCAAACCCTTGAACTAATTTCCTTTTTGGCGTACAGACATTGTTATTCTAGCTCAATAATTTCTGTATACTTTCATGTGTATATTGATGCTTGTAGAAGTGAGAATGCACGATCGAATGCTTTTATTATCAATCTAAGCATTGTTTTTCTGGATTGCTTAAAAATTGTTTTTCGCAATACCATTATATATATAATTGTTAATGAACGTTTTCACATCCGACATTGTCGGACTTCATTGGTCACGACTGCTCACTAAAACTCCGGAAAATTCTTTGTAAAGCAAGTCCCTAGTGAGTTCTAACTTGCTCTTTCCCTCCCTGTTCTCTTTGATTCAATCTTCTGTTGGCAGGCATTCCACTACCGATTGCTGCTACATGCTACTTTTATCTGTCAGCATAAGTAGTATTCACCACACCATGACTAGTGTTACTCAATCGTGTCGAGTGTGAGGTAGGTACTGGCTGCCAACTGTGGAAGGCTGTTAAACAATGTCCATTAATTCTTCTTTCTCTTCGTGTGGTTTCTATTTTTCTTTTGAATTGTACTTACAGATAGACTATTGCCATTACTTTATTCCAACTTTTTCAGTTTGGATTTGTTATAACGGTTTTCAGTTTGATTAACATAGACATTTTTGAAATAGTTTCAGAAATATCTGCAACATATTTATTTGATGATTTGACCAGTTCATTGAAACAGAAATGGAACAATTTAAGAAATTCGATAAAATTTAGTGGTGCTGAGCAGTCAGCTTCAAAATAGTTTTTTCTTACCATTTCTACTGATGATTTTGGTTACTTTTGTACCTGCATTAATAACACTCATGTGGAAACCGTCAAGTGTTTATATTTTTATAAACTGATCAATATTGTTGAGTGATGCATCTGTCTTTGTTAGGTATAATGATCAATATGACCTAGCCAGAACGTTATATTGCTGGGCCTGGTATATAAATCATACATATCGGTAAATGAATTCTATTTCCTTCAGTATCCTCCATCTTCAATTCTAATAATTTTTTGTTTGCTATGTAATCTAACGAGTTTACTAAAATCTCAACTTATAATCATATGTTTTGTATTGTTTGTTGTTATTGGTATGTGTGAATTGTAGAAATCTGTTTCCACTGAAATGTATTTATCTTAATTTTTTAAAAACTAGCTGGGAACTAGTGGATTTTAATGTAGAACCAATAATTGAGTCTTCAAGCGGTTTGTCCTCTGAATCCCTGCACTTTCGTCCACTTTTATCGTCTGAAGACAATAATCATGAATTGGATTGGATAAATAGCCAACTGTCAAGTTTAAAACACCATTTTGAGAAACGTCGAGCAATTTTATTTGATGACAAAAGTGATAATAATGACTGTGATGAGCTAGATGCTCATGTGAATTTGATACCATCGTCAGTTCTAGTTTTTTCTCGTCCATTAGACGGTTGGTCTGTAGTACCTGTACGAGCAAATGATTCGGATGGTTTTACTCTTATACCGAATTTTGTTCGCTCGCGTGCTCAAAATGGTGATGATTTAGAATTGTCTAATACACCATTTGCATCTTCATTTATTCAATCAGAAAATATGATTGACTTATCCGGGAAACGAGATAAAAAACGAAAAACACTTGTCGAAAAACCTTCATTGAATATAGAACCTGCTTATGGTCTATCGGATGGTTTGAATCTAGACTTATTAGACGTCCTATTACCTGGTATACCTCCACCACCATCAATCGGATGTGTTGAAGTTGACTGGGGTTATAATAAAACAATTTCACTCCATACAATATTTCATCCTGGTAAAATAGTGTTTAGTTTAGCCAAAGAAAGTTATGGATCAGTGGGTGAAGTGAGTTATTAGTAGTTTTATACAATCTTATATAGCCTTTATATCATAATGTTATATATTGTAAATAAACTAGAGCAGTTTATGATTATTTGTCAGTATGTTGCTTACTTCCTATAATACGTCATAACACACTAAATCAGTACTTTTTTTAAATCCTGGTCAATGTGTTCTTTCTTATTAATAGCAAATAATAAATATGAAATATTCCCTGATTGTAAATATAGAACAACATATATAAGCGAACAATATTGTTTTCGATTAGATCTTCATCAGGCTTTACTCCAATATACAGTAATATTTATATGCATATACGAAATTATTAAACCAATCAAGGTAGTTTATAAGTCAATGATAACTATGACAAAGATTACATAATAAGTGAAAAGTACAAATTCGTATTGTGATAACAAGTGCATTAGTTTTTGATAAGAATAATAAAGGCTCAAATCAATGTTACATAATCGGAAATAGGTCAATGATTAGAAAAATATGGACAGTGAGATAACATTTATAAAATTATAAGATGACGTAATAAGAAGTGTTCAGATGATTGGACTTTGAAACGTATATGTGAGGGAAAATAAAATAAAATGGTAGGAGGGGGTGAAGAAAAATAATAAGCGAAAAGAAAGTTTTGAAAAATTAATAGATAAATTCATTTATTAAGGCCAAGGGAGAGATAAGGGTGTTACAAATTTCTTCTGAACACAAAGACTTGGCTTGTTGGCTCGAATCCCTATAGCTTCTGCTATGTGTAAGAGATGAGATCGAACACCATAAGGGAAACTAGTGAGAATACGATAGATAACTTTAAATGGCTTGTTTCTGTCCACTACATGACCACTATCGATCAAGTGTGATAGAACCGAGCTGCGTATTGTCTTGACGTTACCTTTTCCTAACCACGAAGGGAGGTGTTCACTATCTCTTTCTCTATTGAGCAGCTGAATTCGTAGATACACATAACCATAACGCATAACCAGGTAACTTATCCTTCAGTTAGGGAATCACCATAGATCGGGTCGAATACAATAGATAGATGTTGGTAGCATTGAGTGTTCTCTTTACTAATCTAGTCAGTCTATCACGTAATACATCACTAGCTACATCACCATTTAATTGCAGCTTCAAGAAAAGAGGTTTCTTATTAACAGTCAGTGTCATTATTTTCTTGCTTGTTACACGCAAGTGTTTCTTCAGGAAACCCTGTGGATATTCCAATTCAATCAACATATTATGAATACACTCTAATTCCTTACTAGAACTATTTAATAACAAACATCCTGCAATTAAATTTGCATATGAAGAGGAAATAGGTAATAAACTACATTTCCTTGACGTTTTGTTGAGTAGAAAAGAAAATGGTTCTATCAGCAGAGGTGCGTATAGAAAAAGTTCTTCTCCAAGCCAATACACACATTTTTAAAGCTTTGTGCCTCTTCATTATAAGAGAAACCTAGTCAAATGCCTGGCAAATAGAGCCATTAAGATATGCTCAGTTGACACAATTGATAAGGAAGAAGCGTACATCCACGATGTTCATATCTCATGACGAATGTGCAAATATCTTTGACAGATATAATCCATAAATTTAAATCAATCTCCCTAAAACCTCATTTCAAACTAATCTGTTAATGTGAAAAAGTTCTTTATTCTCTCTACTGTTTCATGTTTTCTTCATGTTCCATATTTTTAGATTATTGGAGTTGATCAGAAGAAAGGTAAAGTTATGGTACGCTTCTATCCTGATGTCTCATCATCAACTGACTTAACGGAATTTTGTAGTCAGGTCGAAGTAAGTATAATTGTAATTATATAAGAAAACTATTATCTTGTAAATGAAATCACTACTTGTATTATCTTTACATAACAACGAGTTGTGATCCCAAAAACTAAACTTAGAACCTTTTTACTTTTCTGAAAATGTCTTTTTGCTAATTTAACTTTAATATGAAGTCAGTTAATCTGATACTTTTAGTTCTTAACATGATTAGTTGACGTTTTTATTAATCGAGAACTTAAATGTAACGTACTATGTTATGCTTTTGTACTTATTCCACGCTTCTTGCACAGTTAAGAAGCGTTTGATGTTCATTTAGTAATCCACCACTTAAAAATTTGCAGGGCTTTTAATCAGATTGTATTTTTCAACATTATTTCAAGTTAGAAACTCTCAGAATGAGCTTTTTCAATTCAATCTATCGTAATTTGTCTCTAGCCCCCAAATGCCCTGGTATGGCCGAGAGTGGGGAGAGTCCGCCCTCCCTCTCGAAATGCTCTCACATGGCCATGCTTATATAGCCTCTGCCAGGGAAGTCCTACTCACTGCCTTCTCGTGGCGGAGGTGTTGTTTACAAAATTGAGAGGACGAGAAGCGAATGTTCAGCGCTTTAACCGGATCACAAACCAATGGTGCACATGGGCCCCAGTATCCTGCGGGAACAAATGGCGTATGAACCAATTGTTGGTCACCGGCTTACATGGGACTGCATCTCCTCACGATGCTCCACTGCCTTGTGGATCAGACCTTCAGGTCGAAGGCTCGGGGTGTGGCCCCCTAAGAAAACCACCTTCTTCGGTTTGGGCACCCGGGCAGTATCACAGCCCTCACACATATCGAATGAGATTTGTGTGGCGCATTTGTATCTGGTGCCTCCTTGTACCAATATCTATGTGTTAAAATAAAATAAATAAATAAATGATCATTTGTCTCTATTTATTTATTTGGACACATGAATATTGGTACAAGAGAGCGCCAATATATATGCGCCACACAAAACAATGAAAATTCGAGAGGAATACAAAGAAAGAAAAAAAAGCTAAGGAGCGCAACAAAAAAAGAGAGAACAATAACGAAGAGATTGGTGTAAGGTAGTGTAATAATAATAATAGCAATAGTAGGGGAACAGAAGGGTACAATCAGAAGAAATCTTTCAGTTAAGGAAGATACAACCACTTTTTTATGAAGAAAGTAAAGGAAGGTTACAGCAGGGTCGCCACTGGCTTCTATTCTGAGCCATATCTGATAACGTCCCTAGCCACTGTGTAGCACCATCTCTCGGACCCCAACCAGGGAGTCGTGAAGGACCGACACAAGCCAGTCCTTTGCAGCTTTCTTTCATGCCAAGACACCATGTCATACACTGACCACCTCTCCGCTTCTTCCAACCAGTCCCAGAGTCGGCAAATAATGCACGACGTGGAATTCTCTGGGACGACATTCGTAGAACATGTCCAAGCCACCGAAGTCGGTGTTTCAAGATGGTGACACCAATTGCATTATCATCTCTGTGCCCGAACACACGATGCCGAACCTCTGCATTACTGACATGGTGTTGCCACTGAATGTCAGCAATCCTTCGGAGACAGCGATGATCGAACACAGAGAGTCGTCTAACGTCCTCAACTCGGAGAGGCCAGGTTTCACAAGCATAGAGCAAGACTGCTCTCACCGACGCGTTGTAGATCCGACCTTTTACAGCCAGACTAACATCACGAAGGCGCCAAAAATGGCTCAGGTTGGCATAAGCCGCTCTGGCTTTCACTATACGTGCATTGATCTCATCACTCACAGCCCCACCAGCACTTATGCGGCTACCCAGATATACGAACTTCTCGACTACTTCTATCTGCTCACCATCCAGGGTGATTACAGGATTAGAATCCTGCCACTCTTGTAGAAGTACTTTGCACTTCGAAGGTACAAACCACATACCATACTTACAGACACTGATTGCTAACTGATTAAGTGCGGGTTGCATGCCTTGGGCATTATCGCACAGTAAGACAATATCATCCGCATATTGAAGGCCGAGAAGTCTTTCTCTAGACAACAGATCCACACCGGTATTACTTACATCCATCAGAGCTGTTTCTAGAATGTCATCGATGGCAAAGTTGAAGAGGAATGGTGAGATTGGGCTACCCTGTCTAACCCCACTACTCGAATGGAACAATGGAGAGAGGTGGTTGTATGCCCTCACTCTGCCTGAGGTGTTTGTACATAGGGCCTTTAGGATGTTAATAAACTTCTCAGGCACACCCTTCTTCAATAGACAATCCCAGAGATTAGTCCTGTCCGACGAATCGAAGGCAGCCCTGATGTCAAGAAACACTACGATTGTTAACCTTTGATAAGTATGGCGATGTTCTAGCATTTGTCTGAGGGTGAAGATATGATCAATACATCCTCGGCCAGAAAGAAACCCAGCCTGTTCCTCGCGAGTCAATCTCTGGTTTTGAACAACCTACGAAGAATGACGGAAGCCAATAGCTTTGACGCAATCGTAAGTAGACTTATCCCCCGATAGTTGTTACAGGAACGACGTGAACCCTTTTTAAAGATAGGGACAACTATCGACTCATTCCATGACGTTGGCACACTCTCTAGTTCCCGAACCTTTGTAAACAACGTCGTCAATTCCTTAGTCAAAAAGTCACCACCATCTTTAAAAAGAGCCGGAGGTAAGTCATCTGGGCCAGGTGATTTTCAACGCTTCAAGAGTTGGAGTTCCTTGCGGACTTCCTCCTCGTTTGGTGGATCAGTCGTCACCGGTCATGGAGGGCAGGACAGTCTGACCGATGTTGCCGGAGCAGCAGGCCAGTTGAACTGCCCTTCGAAAAATTCTGCCCACCGTCCAAAACGTCGATGGATGTTAGTGATTGGCATCCCATCATCCTCGCAGATTGTTTCACTCACACCAGACTTCTTGCTGCCAGTGGCTCGGATGAGTTGGAAGAGCTTCCGGTAGTTACCAGATGCAGCTGCTGCTTCCAGCTCATTAGCACGCATCGACCACCAGGCTTCTCGGTCCTTACGCAAGCTTTGCCCAATTCCTTTACATAACATCCTTCGTTTATGGTCAAACTCACGGTCACCCGGAGTAGACCGACGGGCTTCAATGAGTTGTAAGGAACCTGGAGAAACCCAGTGCTTAAAAGCGGGACGTTTCGCAAACCCACAACTGACTGTACCCGCCATTTTCATGGCGTCATGCAATTGCAACCAATGGTCAGAGTCCAGATAGGTACTCCAAAAGGAGCGGCAGTCTTGTACACAACCACGCCAGCGGTAGCTGATCGCGATGTGATCAACCTGAGTCCAGGCTTGGGATGCAGAGGGAGGACGCCAGATGGCACATCGGCGATGACTGTGCCGAAAGTTAGTGCTAGCCAGAAACAGGTTGTGGTCTGTGTACAGTTGCAGTAGACGGTCCCCGTTATCTGACCTGCGACCAACGAGTCCCCATCGGCCACCTAAACGACTCTCTTCTGTGCCTAGACGCCCGACCTGAGCATTCAAGTCTCCGGCTAGTACTACAATATCTGTCGAACGCACTTTCTGGAGAAGAACTGATAACTGGTGGTAAAACTCATCCTTGATTGCATCCGGGCTGCAATCTGTCGGGGCATAGGCGGAGATGACGAAAAGACATCGTTTCTCACTCCGATTTCTTCTCACTTTGATGGAACTTTCTAATCTAACAGCACATAACCGACTGTTAATGGGGATCCAATCGACTAGTGCTGCCTCAGCTCTAGCGCTTAGTGCGACACCAACGCCTGCAAGACCAGACGAAGATGCCACAGGGTCCCCGGATAAGCGCACGTAAAACAAGCTTTTTGAAGTGACAGATGTAGAGCGAATTTGTAGTACTTCGCTAGAGTCTTGAATACGGGTCTCGGATAGACAACAAACATCAATATTAAGACTTTCCAAAGACATAGCCAGCCCTATCTGTTGTCCGACCTGCATAAATGTGCGAACGTTGAAGGCAGCCAGTTTGAATGGTGCACGTATTTTCAGAAAAACTGCTTCAGTACTCATATTCGATGGTAACATACAACTTTCAACCGGACAGTGACTCGAGAACGTTTAGATACAGTCGGATTTCCACCAAAGACGAGCCACTGTATAAGTATAAAAGAGGGTGAATAATGTGGAAAATAATAATAATAATAATAATAATAATAATAATAATAATAATAATAATAATAACAATAATAATAATAATAATAATAATAATAATAATAATAATAACGACAATAACAGTAATAATAATAGTATTAATAATGCCAATAATAGTAATGATAATTATTTGAATCGATTGATTGTTTTTCGGAGCGATAAAAGTAGTTGCCAAAGACATAGAGTTCATCGTTTGTGTGTGGGCTGTTATACTGCCCGGGTGCCCAAACCGAAGCAGGTGGTTTTCTTAGGGGGCCACTCCCCGAGCCTTTGACCTAAAGGTCTTACCCACAAGGCAGTGGAGCATCGTGAGGAGATGCAGTCCCATGTAAGCCGGTGACCAACAATTGGTTCATACGCCATTTGTTCCCGCAGGATACTGGGGCCCATGTGCACCATTGGTTTGTGATCCGGTTAAAGCGCCGGACATTCGCTTTCCGTCCTCTCAATTTTGTAAACAACACCTCCGCCACGAGAAGGCAGTGAGTAGGACTTCCCTGGCAGAGGCTGTATACGCGCGGCCGTGTGAGAGTATTTCGAGAGGGAGAGCGGACTCTCCCCACTCTCGGCCATACCAGGGCATTCGGGGGCTAGAAGGAGTGACCTCATTGGTGTATTAACACCTGTTTCTCATACCGTTTGTTCTTATTCTGTTTATCCTGTAACAAGTTTGATTTATTGATCTATGACAATGTCTTTTTTCATCAATGATCAAAACATTAAGACCCATATATACTCAATGATTTTTCCTGATATTAGATCTACTTCTTATCCTAATACAATTTCTTTACATTTCGCATCGAATGACTCATGCTCACATTATAAAAGGTTCATATTCAGCATTAATAGCATAATTAGATTATTTGTTTAGTACACAGTTATTTTGTGGACCATGTAATATTCAATAGTTTTGATGTTAAATTATTTCCCCTTGAAGAACATGAAGGAAGCGTTAAATTTATTTTATTTTCAATCGTTGAGATTTTCAAAAATACAGTTTCCTCTTCATTTCTTCCATCATCTTGGAACCGACGTACTGTGAAATGTCATTTTGTTAAATCTCAAATCTGCACCCATGAGTATGCAGGTTAAAGGTTTTGTAATCGTCAGTATAGTTTAATCTCCATGTATTTTAACAATTTATCAGTTTCCCTATTGTGATGCAGATTATATAGTTATCTTGTTTATATAGTTTATTGAAATAAAAAATGGTTTCAAGATTCTTATTGTTCACTGACACATGCACTGTATTGTTTGATACTTTTAGTTACAAACTTTTGGTTGATTAAGTTTTCGTTTGTTTCTTATTTACTGTGTTTTGTTTTCAAATATCCATTACAGTTGCTATTTTTCTTGCTCTATGCTTGTGCTAATTTCTCTTCGTGCAGTGATGTGCAGTGTGATAACTTGGATCGATACGTTCTCGTGCTAGGTTTTATGTTGACAACTGACCAATGGAAGTTTAGTTTCAGGAGTGAATCTTCTAAATTGTGATAGTTCCTTCTGTAATCAACAATAATCTTTAACAGAACTCCGTAGTTCAAATAAATTGTTTGGTCAATATATGTTTAAGTAGTGTTCTTCATGTATATTTTGAACTGGAAAAAATAACACTGTTGGATACCATCTCAGTGGTTTAAAGGTTAGATGTTCGCGCGCTGGGTCATGGATACACGCTGATGAGGATTCTCATACTGCGACGAAACGACTGTACAGTGCTTCCAGGTTTTTAATGGTGATTTAACGTTGATTGGTTCATTTATAACCTAACGTTCTTAACTGAGTAGTTCTATCTGATATCTAATGTAATTGTTATGACATCACAGTTGATTATATTTGCTAATTGTTTCTCTGGAGGAAATTCAGCTTTGCTGAATTTCAGGATTCTTTTAGTACTTAGGATTGTGTCATTTAGTTTTTTTCCTGTAAAAAGTTTTGATTTGTCAGCCAAACAAATTACTTCTCGAAATGAAGTGTTTATTTTAATAACAAATTTTTTATATAAGTAAACAATTATTTCCATAAATTTTGCATTTATATATAGGAATGGGAACATGATAATTTTTATACAAATATCATGGTTGCAGATCAATTAAGTGTCCCAGTATTTGTAGTGAATCGATTTACCGGCAGTTTGATGGTTCAAATTACTTCTGAATCTTGTTCATCATTTGGAGATAATGATGGCATTATTAGTAAACATAATCAATACGCTGAAACATCAACTGATAACAATGCAGAAAATAATATGGGAAAGAAAAAATGTGGGCAGAAATCATTTGCTAATATTGGTTTAAACCTGAAACGGAATCGTTCTGGTGCTCAGGTAATATTTTTCTTTGAGTGTGCTCTATTTTTTAATTAGAAATTTGCGTATTGTACTGTTCTTATTTAGTTCATACAACTTACTGATAAAATATTTCTAGTGAATACTGCGCTAGCATCGTCAAATTTAAACTTAAGTACTTAGATAATTGATTGTTGACTGTCGGGTCATTTCTTACAATCCTTTGTATATGTTTTTTTGTTTAAATATCCGGGTAGTTATCTGATTTTGAAACTTGATCCAAGTGTTTTGTATTTTTATTATTAGCCTACAAATAGGTTCTATCACTAGTATGTTTCCAAATCATATTCATTTTGCATGACAGTGCATACACTCTCTATCTTCCCTTAAATTAAGAGATTAAAATTGCTTCATATCTTTCTTTTTATAAACTAATTACTTCTTCCTGTACTATATCCTTATTGCAATCTTCCTTTTATATATTACCACCTCTGAATTAACTACTTTTATGAATCCAGTGTCCATCTTGTTGTGTTAATGAGGTATGGCAACTTGGACCGATGCATATATGTGCCTGGTTCAACGTTGTAGCTGACTGTATTCATTCGCAATGTTGTCTGTTACGAACTACTGTTTGACATTACTCATTCAGCCTGTGCTCCGATGTAGCTAGTGGTTTCCTCGTACTCATATATTAAGGGGCCCTGGTACGGCCGAGAGTGGGGAGAGTCCGCTCTCCCTCTCGAAATACTCTCATATGGCCACGCGTATATAGCCTCTGCCAGGGGAGTCCTACTCACTGCCTTCTCGTGGCGGAGGTGTTGTTTACAAAATTGAGAGGACGAAAAGCGAATGTCCGGCGCTTTAACCGGATCACAAACCAATGGTGCACATGGGCCCCAGTATCCTGCGGGAACAAATGGCGTATGAACCAATTGTTGGTCACCGGCTTACATGGGACTGCATCTCCTCACGATGCTCCACTGCCTTGTGGATCAGACCTTCAGGTCGAAGGCTCGGGGTGTGACCCCCTAAGAAAACCACCTGCTTCGGTTTGGGCACCCGGGCAGTATCACAGCCCTCACACATTATCGAATGAGATTTGTGTGGCGCATATGTATTTGGTGCCTCCTTGTACCAATGTCTATGTGTTAAAATAATAATAATAGAATGAGTAGAATATTTTATTTTCAGATTAACAGTAACTACAGTTTGTGTACATGTTTGCGATGAATTATGGCAAAGTGAAAATGTAATCATTAAATACCACCTATATCCATTTTCTTCCGAATTACTATACAATCGTGATACGTAACGATTCCGACTAAATCTATCTCCTTTACTCAGCTTGTCAGATACTTCCATAGACGCATCATTAAATAAAAGAGTCCTATTATTTTTGTGATAGTTTAGTTTGAGTGACAAAACAACGTGACATTATTTTCGTTATCGTTTCCTAAATGATTGTTCTGTTCGTTTAAATGCTATTTTAGATAAATTTCATTAGATATCACTTATATCAAATCTATTCCTTCCCAACGGATCTCTAGTCAATGGTCTGAGCTCCTCTGCTAATATTTCAAACCCTTATTCACTTGCGTACACCGTAAATACAGTTCATCTATGTAATAGTAGATCAATTCAACAAGATATACGATCTATCAGTTAAAATGGTTCTTTATTCATGTTTATGTTTCCAGAAGTTCAAATACAATAGCTTGAATCTGAGAGTGGTGAATCCCTGTTTCTTGACTACCTAGTTAGATGGAAAGAAAATGGATATTTTAATATAACTTCAGGACGAAAACATAAACAAATATTATGATTTTATATCTTAGCACCTCATCAACTCAAGGATATAAGTTGTTTCAAGTGTTTCAGGAAGGGCACACACATTGTAAAATAAAATAAACTAAAGTAACCGGAAGGCTTAAAATAAATAACTATCCTAAAAATGTCCACTAATTTAAAAATAACTTTAAACGTGACGGAAATAGTACTCCAGAAACATGAACTACATTCATTGTCATTCCACACATATCACAAACATAAGAATGTCTCGAAGGTAAAGCATATCACTTTGAATGGAGTCTTAATTGTCTGAGTAGGAACAAGGGTATAAGACAAAATTTCAACCTAGTACCAACACTATCCTCTCACTAACTAGTTTGATCAACATATATGTTGATAGAACAATTAGAAGACGGAGTTGATCTAAAAAAATATGGTCTATTTACGCTATGCATACAACACAAATGTGCCAAGAATTTTTCATCATATAAATGCATACTTTTTATGATTCATACACCCATTGAACCTAATAATCTTCAGCTGTCTTCTGTCTTTATCAATTCATTCGACAACGCAGAAGTACTTCATATAAAAGAAATTTTATCGAGTTACTTTATATCAGCTGAGATTTTTGTAAATCTCTAGTTTACTAGTATTACTATGAAGTTATTAGCAATAAACAATGAAACGTTATCTGAAACAATTTTATTTTGTTTTTCATTTATTGGAAAGTATAGATTTTTGGTTATGGCAAAATAGTCCTTTATTTTTGTGAACTATTGCAGAATATAACCAGACTAATAGAGGTCAATTTAGTTTATTAGCTCTTTTTCATACAATAGGTTTGTTTGTGGACACATTTATAAATTGTGTAGTCTTCAATAATGTCGTTTTTGTACCACAGTTCTTACCCTCCTTTCTTCATTGTCAGTTGGTGTTTGAATCAATTGTGATTTTGATAGTCGATATTACGTCATCTGCATTTTAATAATGAACACATTCTATCTCACCTCACTTTCTTACTGTGTATTTTTGTTTTACAACCTCTTGTATAAATTACATTCCAATTATGCATAATATTCTTTCGTCTCGCTGAACTTATTTCGAATTGTCATTCAAGCACTGTAAAACGTTCATTAACATAGGTCATTGTCAGTAGTAAGCATTTCATGAGCATATATATATATATATATATACTCCGAATGCTTTTTTAGTTAGTCCTTTGTTTACAAAAATTTCGTAGATCCTTCTTCATTGAGCAGTTTTTGCCAGAACTTGAAATCACTTGCGGTTACCAGTTCAAACATAAAGTCAAACTTCTTGTCTCAACAATAAGTTACTCATTACCGTCAGTCAGTCAGAAACAACGTAGAAATTCGTACGTACGTACATCAGTTCGAGTTACCATGCCACATTAGCACAGAGATGCAGTTGTCGATTCATATCCCGTAGTGGTAGAGTTAGTAAAAGTAAAAGCAGTAATCGAAAAGATTAGGGTTTGAAGACGTTATTCAAAGAGTATAATCCAGTGAAATAAATGTGGAAAGAGAAAAAAAGGACACGAAGAATTCAGAAGATTAGAATTTGGAAGAACACAAATAGTGAATGCACCTGTGCCATTGCAAACGATTTTGAGCCATGACATTCAGGGTCTCTAACCATCGGTTGCTATCATCTCGCGGTCCCCAACCAAGGTAGTCTGCACCTACCAACATGACTCAGTTCACTTGTCAGTGACTTCACGGATTTGTGTCATGTTTTGGTCTGGCCACCCCCAGCTTTCTTCCAACCTACTCCTATATCACTGAACATCGCACGTCGAGGCAGTCGGTGGTTGGGCATACGTAACACGTGTCCCAGCTATCTCTACTGATGAAGTTTCACTACTTCATCAATTGATTTACCATCCTTACCTAGTACCGGTTTCCTAACAACTGTGTTACTTACTCGATGGTCCCATGATATCCGAGCAATATTTCGAAGACACCTATGATCGAATAGTAGTAACATACAATTATCCTCTACTCTTATCGGCCATGTTTCACTGTCATAAAGTAGGACGAAACAAAATACTGCACAGTAAACCCGTCCTTGCCTCGTAGACAGGTATCTCGCCTACGCCATAAATGACGCAAGTTGGCAAAAGCTAATCGAGTCTTCTGTATCCGTGCTGAGATTTCGTCACACACCAGACCACAAGGGCTGATGAGACTCCCAAAATAAGTGAAGCGATCGACACGTTCAACTACTTCACTCTCTGTCATTAGTACAGGTTTCGATGCAACCCAATCCTGAAGCAACATTTTGCATTTTGAGAGGGATAATCGCATCCTGAACATGTTTGTATTGCTGCTTACGGTGGTCAGAAGACTCTGCATTTTGTCAGCGTCTTCACCGAGTAGAATTATGTCATCGGCATATTCTAAGTCAACAAGTGAACCTCCCAGTAGAAGTTCAACCCCTGGAAATTTAGATGAGGAAAGTGTTATCTGTAAAAGCACGTCAACGATGAAATTAAACAAGAATGGAGAGAGTGGACAGCCCTGACAAACACCACTTGAGATAATCAATTCTGATGACAAGTCTCCATAAGCTCTCACTCGACCAGTTGTGTTCGAGTAGAGAGCCTTTATAAGGTTAATGTACTTCTTTGGTACTCCTTTCAGTGACAAACACTGCCATAAAACCTCACGATCAACAGAGTCGAATAATATCTTAAGATTGGGAAATACTACTATTGTGGAGCGTCTGAATGTGTCTATGTTCTAGGACCTGACGTTATGTGAATATCTGGTCTATACAGCCACGTCCAGTTCGTGTAGAATGTAAATACTTATATTTCGAGGGTTGTTTGTGAACAGAAAGCCTTTCTAAACGGAATTATGAGTTTCACTGAATTCTATGAAGATTGCCTGGATAGCTGTTACTTTAATGAACGAAAACATTTAACACATATATTTTGTATTTCTTGATCTCTAGTTTTCGTGTAGATTATTATTATTATTGAGCTGAACTTGAAAAAGTGTCTGTATTCGGTTCTTGGATGAGTGAAATGACAAGGACAGCTTAAGAGCTTGATTTCTGCTGACTTCTAGAGATTCCTCACACAATATAAACAAAGATAGTACAACGATAGAGCTTCAGCTGGGTCAAAAGCAGTTTACCTTAATTCTGAGAATTAACGTGTTTTTTTAACTGACTGAATACAAAATAAATGAATGTATCGTAACATAGTCTTTTATACAGTTATATCACTTTACAGTTATGTTTATATGAAGTGATTTTCACTATGTTAATTATATTTCAGGTTTTAGGTTGGTCACGTTTTTGTACTGTTCGTCATACATGGTTATTTTCTAATAGAACTGTTGATTTACTCAAGAAATTCAGTGAAAAATTTCCAGGTGTTTGGGAAAAAGTTTTGAAGTCATCAGATTCATCTACAAAAAATAATGCATGTATACAACTTGATTCGTAAGTGTTTTGTATCAGATTTTATCATGTGTGTAATTTTTAACACGTTAACTATTCATTAGTCCTGTTTTCTTTAAATCCTTCCATCTGAAGCCATTAGGTGACAAATTCTTTTTCCATATAAATTGCTTTATATATCATATTTCCAAAGTGTACAGCATCTAGTCAGTATTGTAATGCTCAAATGATCTACTTACCAATAAACAGGATAAGGGCTAAATAGTTATTCACTAAGGTACTTCATTAACTACACACTGAGATACAAAAGAACATTTGTTACGCTTTATTGTCGATCTTATTCACTAGATACCATTTTAAAACAGGAGCAAATCAGGTTGCAATATATGTTTCCTGATATTTTGCCGTATCTTTAAGCTCCAACCACTGTTTCAAATCGCACTAAAGTACACTTCGGAGGTTATGAAAGTTATCCTTTAAATGCATAACATACATCACTGAATATTAGTGTTGTCTGGAAATTCTACTTTTTATATTTGATTCATGTGTCTTCATATCCGCTTCACATTCAGTAGTTTGCGCATACAGATAATGTCATCTACTCTCACATTTTAAATGTTGCCACACATTACTTATTCATAGAGTCTTACATCACACACTTCAGCATTACTGAACAACAAAGTGAACGTTTTAAGATGTAAGATATTGGCGCTTTGGTTTATCGATAATCATCTCAATAATCCAGTAAGAGTAGATTGTAATCGTTCGTTCTCTTTCTTTTACTTAACAATATCATACAAACGTATCAAAGATCATGATCAGACTTTGTTGCGTTTCATGGGAGTAGTGAACGGTATAGAATGATTGGTGATATTTGTTGCAGATGTAACGGTTCGAACGATTTTAAATTCATTGTCTTATGATGATAATCTTAATTTTCATAACAAGTGTGCAATACAATCATTATCTCTTTAGTTATTATTCTTATTGCTTCTTTTATTCTCGTTTGCCTAGATTGATCCCTTTTTTGTAATTATCATAGAAATAGCTTAATGATTCACTTCATGTTCAGCTTATTCAAAATATATTTCACCAAATAATTTATCGTAAGTAATCTGTAAGTTCGTGGTAAATAATTGGTAAAATAAAAAAATAATATCAGAAGGGGTTTTTGTGGATATTATAGTAATTTCAATAGTTGAGATCATGAGTCAAGCTTCAATTGACCCATGATCTCAACTATTAAATAATAATAATTTAAATTTAGTTTATTGTATAACTTAACTCTATTAAATAATATATCTCTTTGATATTATAATATCGTAAAAAGAAGACAAACTAAATGAAATTCATTTATTTTTCCAAAATCTAATTTAGAAAATTTTTTAGTATTTGTTTTTTATGTTTTTCCATCCCATTTTGTTGTCATATCACTTCAAAAGGCTATGCATTTTTATTTCGATAGGAAAGAAGTTGACGAGATTATGGAATTTATTGCTAATTCTGAATGTAGAAGTGCTCCAGTTTTACCACAGAAAGGTATCTACTTGGATAAGGAATGGTTACAAAAATTAAAATCATTATATCTTAAAGACATGAATGAAACTGTATATGAACCGTTTGATCGTCAGATTTGGAATAAAAAATCTCCAGTAAATTGTTCACCGACAACTTTGTTTGTTGTGAGTTTTTTTGTTGATTTTCTATTCATTTTTCCAATAGCTATTTGTCAACGCTCTACTATATATGTATGTATTTTATACGGAATTATTAGCTGTAAGCGGAACTCATTATGTACACTTTAGTAATATTATAATAACTATTACTTTTAGAATAATACTCTATTTAATTTAGCCATTATCTTTCATTTTCCATTTTGCCTAAATGCTTGGTCAATTTACTTAGAAATTACTTCCCGTCGATTCAGTAATTGGTTAAAATAAGAACCTAAATTCAATGTGTAAATGACTGAATGTCACCCAACTACATCACAATCTAAATATTGTGATTCTTTTTACTGAATCATCTTTCTAACATTGATATTGATATTTTTGTAGTTGTATCTTGTTCGGTAAACAACGTTATGAATAGTTAATAAATTAAAAGTTCCACTAATTATTTCGTATTACATGCTTATTAATAATATAAAACAATACATGTAATGTTTTCTTTAGTGGTTTAATTTATTTTACTGTTAATGTTTTTTCTTACGTATTATTAACTTACGTAGTCAGTGAATTCAGATACAAGAATATATCCATCCTCTTATAATTTATCACCATTCGATCGTTGTTATTATTCATCAAACTACTCGTCAGTGTTTAGTTCATTCACATTATTGGATAAAGTTGTTTATATTGGGATAGGACAAAATATTCCATTGGGATTACATGGGATTGTTATTGGTGTACCATCTGGTAAGTAATAAATAGATACAAACACTGATTAATGTTATACCGTCTGATTTATAACTTATTCTTATTGCCGAGCATTATATATATGTAATAGTAAGTTGTAAATTGATGTACTTTTATACTAATGATTTGTGTATATATCTTAATTTTATCCGCACACTTTTTTTTCATTTTTCTTATATCTTAATTATAAGGTGTAAGCTCTCAAAAGAGTGAACAATTGGTAGAGATCATGTTTTGCCGAACATTCACTGATGCCATAGATATTAGGTTAGTATGTATTATGCTTTTGTCAAATAATTTATGATCACATATCTTATTTGGAAAAAGTTGTCTATTTATTTCAATCATTTCATTCTTTTAATGTTAAGTTGGTAAACAGGATGGTTTCCGTTAACTTTTATTTCGTCATGAAATTGTTAAAGTTCTTAGTTATTCTATCAAACCAATATATTTGACTTGTAAAATTGCATTCTAGTAAATACCAAAGTAAACTGAGTTTATTTCAATATTTATGAATCATTGATTGTAAACGAGGTAATCTCTTGTGTTAAGGCGATTATCAATTTTCGGTTGCCCACATCGTGGAAGTATGCTTCCTCTCGTAGTACCTGGGAAGGTCTTAACGACTTGGAAATATATTCGTAATGTCTAAAGGATAACTACTTAAGAGATATTACACAGTACTTTTTGTGAATATTTTTGAAATTGTTGGCTTCATTCTTTTAAGTCTTCACTGACGAGGATGGAAATTTGTAGAAATATTATTTGATTTGCTTGTTGAATATCAGTAATATTCTGTGACGGAGTATATATATATATATATTTCAATCAATATCCGGATTCATGATTGTGCTTTAATTAAACTTCAATTTGTTCATCTTCATTATGCTAACTGATTTATTTAAATATCATTTTATCAGTCATTTATAAATAGTCGTTATTTTGTTCTATTAAGAGTTTTAATCTGTTAGTTTTTTTCCTCAAAAGATTAGTCTTATGACAACTCTATAGCTTATAGTATCTATTGTTATATTAGGTGCTCACAATAATTAGACTGAAACTCATACACATAACTATGCATATAATATATTTCTTTACTAGAAATGTGTATGGAATTCGGTCGATGTTTTGAGATTGTTTCACAAGAAACAATGTGTGTGCGTATATGTATATTTGTATTTTTTCTGCATACCTGTTTTCATCGCAAGCACTAGTAACAGTGGTAGTAATAATGATATAATCATTCTGTTTTCATAGTATTAAGTGTGATATAAAAAACTGTTATGATTTAGATTAGTCTTAGCTGTTGTTGCTTTGATTATCATTGTTTGATTTGCAAATTCTAATAACACCACGTTTTACTAACCTTGTGATTAAAAATAACTTGAGGCGTAAATTATGCGTCTTGTTAAAAAAAATAACTGAATCATTCCATTTATTCGCTTCATGAAATTATATTAGGGATTTCTAAAAAAGCAATACTAGTTAACTAGCCGATTTGTAAATTAGGTAGCTCAAATCAGGTCACTTATTATTTATTTAAACTCATAAACATTGGTGCAAGTAGGTACCAAATATATTTGTACTACACTTCATCAGTCGATTTGTGTGAGGGTTGTGATACTGTCCAGGCGCCAAACTTAAGTAGGTGGTTTTTATATGGGGCCACACTCGGAACCTTTGACCCAAACGTCTAATCCACAAGGCGGTGGAGTAACGTTAGGAGATGCAATTTCATGGTAGCCTCTAACCAACAATTGGTTCATACGCAATTTTTTCTCTCAGGATCTTGGGGCTAATGTGCACCACTGGTTTGGAGTCAGGGTTTTCCAACTCCCCTAGGTGTACCACTTGTGTCCACTAATCCGGTTAGAGCTCCGGACAGTCGCTTTTGGTCCTCCCAATTTTGTATACAACAACCCGTCTCGAGAAGGCAAAAAGTAGGACTTTCCTGATGGTGGCTGTATACGTGTGGCCATGCTAGAACATTTCAAGAGAGAACGAATTCTTCCAACCCTCTACCACACCAGGGCATTTGTGGGCCACAGATCAGGTGAGAAAGCAGAAAAAAGTCGGAGTAGCAACAGGAATGAAAGAACGGTGAAGTTTTTAAGAGATAATTCTAGGAAGATGTTCAATTGGTGTATTCAATGTATTGTTTTCATCTTTTACAAATACAGTTTGTGATGTTACTTAAAATAAATTGGTTTACCCTACCTAAGTATTCGTTCATTACACCTATTTTAACTGGAACAAAATATGTCTATTTTTTAACCGAACAAAACTGATATTTCTCAGTGCAAGGAAGAAAATGAGGTTGTAGATATAGTCGTTTATGCGCCAAGCATAAAATCTACAAACTAATCAACAATTACATTAATATATAACACAGATTCAATACATTGAGCTGTTCGGTATCCAATTTACAGCATGCATAGATTAATAAATATATCTAATAAAATAACTGAGTTTTATATTTGATCTTTCCTAGCAGTCCTTATAAATATTTGTCACCAACATGTCTGTCGATGAGTATGCATTTTAACTATGAATAAGTAAAATTGAAATAAATAACTTCTGTGACATGAATTTCCATTTTTCAATAGTGCCTCAATCTGAAAATCATTCCATTTCCTAGGCTAGATAACAGTAGACTTGATGACGCTTCATTATTCAAGCTACATATATATTTTCTAGTTAAAACTTTTATTGTCATTCTCGGTGGTATCATTAGTGTTTACTTCAAATTAAGATGAAATTTCGAAAAACATTTTGCAAAAATTACCGGTCTCTTTTTTCTCTAATGATCTATAGTTTTCTAATATCAATCAACTGTTGAATTAATCAACTAATTTAGTCCGTATGTATATGATTTTTCAAATATCATTGACATTAAATAAGTATAGATTAATCAACAATTCTTCTTTGCCGAAAATCCATATTACTAACGTATCTCTTTCAGATTCAGTTTTTTTTCCATCGTCATGTAATATTCAATACTTTTGTTAGTAGTATTGGGTAAGCCTACTTCAATTGTTCCACATTCAAGTATAAACCACTTTTACAATTATAGTTAGAAAAGGTGATATTGTTACTTATTCATGTTCTGTTTCAAAAACTTAACTCTGACTGGTATGTGTTGAAATCTTTTCTTTTTCAAATTTCTTTGGATAGATTCATAACTAAATGTAGTTGTTTGTTTTTTGAATCCATCTACGAACATTTTAACAATGTCAAGTGATTAATTTCTTTTTGTTTATTAATTAGATTGTAAGTATAATTTCCTCGCTTTTATTATAAATAAAATAATCACGCCAATAGAACTATTGATTTTTATTGTTTTACATTCTATTTAGCTATGTGCACTAGACTTTACGCTTTAATATGACCTTAACCTTTATTGTTTATCATTTCAATGATGATTCTTTCGATATTATAGTGTACTTAACTATTTGTTTATAAGTCACATTTCGTAACTTAATTCAGTCTTTTTTTCTCTTCCAGGAAAAATAATCTAATTAAGTTGAACTAATGTATATGTACCTGTTATTATTAGTTAACATTTTCCTTGCCGGTAGTAGTGCTGGCAATGCTGTTTAAACAAGTTATATTCAATTAGTTTTGGAATAAATTTGTTTTAATACACATGGTAATATAATCTCTGGCGAGATGCCTAAACAAATAGAAGTAGTAATCACAATAAATCCTTAATTGTTCTTTGTTTGATATGATAGAATAGAAATGTTTCTCTCTCTCTCTCTCTGTTTCTTCAAATATATGTGTCATTTAAGTAAAAGGGAGAATGTAAATAATACATTTTATTTTTTTAAATCAATTTTAAGAGGATCAGGTCCTGTATGTGCACTGGTACATCCATCAATGTTACTCAGACTACCAGAAAAATGTGATGATAAACATCAGTCAATCTGTCAGCCGAAATTACCTAGACCAGTTTCGAAACCTGTTCAAGTTTCATGGATTACTAAAGGACCTCCACGTAATTACCGTCCATGGCCAACTAATAATAAATTTGATCAAAATACCTCTCATAAAAATAAAATGGATGATGCAAACCATAGTAATATATCAAAGGCTAGTCCCGTTCATTCATGGAATTCATCTAAATTGAAAACTAAACAAAAACAACCACCACAACAACAATTGCAACAACAAAATATTAAGGTTTGTGAAATCTGTGTTCACTTGTTCGGTTTCATAATGCCAATATGTTTCTTTTTAAATATTGTTATTTTAAGCTGTTGTTGTTGTTCAGTGCCATTCTCAGATGACATTATTAATGTAACATGAATTGATCGTAATTGTTTAGAAATAGATCAATTTCGTTGTGTCAGCTCCTCATGTGAACTTTAATAGACACTATTATTTTTGTATTATTGATTCTTTAATCCTCTAAAAAATGTCTCTCTTTTTATTTGTTCAATTATTATGATTGTTTATTCTCATGTTTAAGTATTGTGTCATACGCTGATACATATCTATATCTGTTTGAACCATTTATTATCGGAATATCTCAAATAACCTATATGGTACATTCAATTTTTAAATGATTTAATAGTTGTGAACATTTGTGGCAACATTAATACATATCATGTTTTGTTTATATTTGTCATTAATTAATTAAGTGTTTAGTCTACATTAAAATAATTAATTGATTCGGGATAAATGATCATGAACTGTTTAAATAAGAGTTGAAAGGCATAAGAGAATCAGCTGTACATCATTTTTATATCAATATCTTTAAAGCATAAAATATATTTAAAAACAATCATTTCGAAATAAGAAATGATAAAATTGAATGAAGAGTAATTAGTGATTAAGTCAGTTTGTTCAATTGTTAACTACTCACTTAATTATTTTTACTCTTAATCTTGGAAATAAAATTCAGTGGTTATGTTATGATTTAATAGAAAATGCTTTCCTTTATTTTTATCTACTTCGTTTTTACTATTTTGTATAATGGTATTTTATCCACACTGACACCTACTTCGATTTCTATTATACTGTTGTATAGGCTACTTATGTTGACAGATTACGTAGTATGTCAGTCAGTCAGTCAGTCAGCTACAACGTAGGACCAGGCACATATATGCATCGGTCCAGGTTGACATAACTCATTAGCACAACAAGATGAACACCAAATTCATAGAAGTAGTTACTTCAATGGTAGTAATGTATAAAAGACTGTGTATAAGGATATAATACAGGAAGAAAGGATTAGTACGTAGAAATAAAGCAATTTTAATCTCACAGTTTAAGGGAAGACAGAGAGTGTGTACACCTACGCCACTGTTATCGATTCTGAGCCATATCGCACAGTAGTGTGTAGCACCAATCGACAGTTCAATACCTGTCAGCAGAAGACTGAGCTGGGTGAATTGAAGAAAACAGAGAGGAATTGTAATACCAACCGAATTTGATGAAGTATGTACAGATAAACTGAAGGAAGATGTACAAATTACGTATCTAATGTATGATTTTCATATTTTATGGAATCACCATGTAATTTTGTACATAATAATAAATTGATCTTCCCCACCTGAGCTTTGTTCACGACAATAATATTAACTGCATTAAAAGAAGGAAAACTTTCTATTTATTTTATGATCTATTATATCCACTGAAGGAGCTTTTAATGATTTCTCAACCATTATTTGTCATCAACTGATACATGTTGGTTAACCATAATACACATTCTGTTTATGTTTTGTCGAAGTTAAGCACCTTTCTTGGTCGAAAATCTGTTTGTGTTAATAGTTTGTTTACCTACTATTGAGACTTTACTTTCAAATTTAGAGAATGTATGTTGCAGTTGAAAATGTTTTTATATCTGCTCTCATAACAATGGTCTTGAGATTGACAGTTATCTGATGTGTATCGACTTTGGACTATCTATCACTCGTTCATTGAGTAACAATGTCACTGTAATGACATAGATTTATGTCTGGATGTTGACTTCCACATAATTTTGTATACCTTAGATTGGAAACTACTTTTTATTGTTTTTTAGAATGCATTTAAATGTTATGTTAGATGGTTTGTTCAATTATGTATTAAGATGTACGTGGAATGTATCTTTCCATAACTCCACGCAAATATATACAACTTCACTAAAGTTTCATGTATATCGGTATAACGTTGCGGAGATAGTTGAGTTTCATTGAGATCATGAACCGATCGATGTTAAACCACCAGTGCTTCCAGGTTTTTACGTATGTGTTTATCTCTTTTTTAGCCTGCTAAAAACCTATCCTCAACGGGAAAAGATACGATAAACAAGAAAACGCAAGGTTAGTTAGTGTATGATATTTTTTAAATATTTACTGACATTCTACTTTCTAAATATTGAATATTATTATCAGGTGTACAGTAATTGCTAATATGTAGATAACATTTTGGAGGGATAATCGTTCTCAACATTTATAAACACATAAGCACTGTATTACAATACTCAGTATAAAACATGGAATTTATGTTTAGATTAATTAGTTATTCTCCAAGCATCTTTAACTACCATAGACTCAGTTAATTCATCTTCATATATGCCGTATAAGTATGCAAATAAATCAATTCATCTATTTTTAACTTATCAAAATGATCTGTTACTAACAAAAGTTTTATAATCCATAATAATATATACACGAATTTTTTTCAATCAGTCTGATGTTATAGGTAATCATCTAAACCTTGCTTACTTGTATTGTGTTTTTTCAACCAGGTCATTTCATATGTCATTCAATTCTAACATTCGTCCTATTATTTTCATTACTATGATTGTATGCTTGTGTTTTCAGATTTTAGCGATTACTTCGTTGAAACTCACATATAGTTCAATTTAGTACCTTGTATTTTTCATCAACAAAAACACTTATCACTATGTTTTTTATGTCATTTGTTATTAGTAATGTTTCAAGTCCAGTCGAACTGATCTACACGTATGGTAGACTCGACATTCTGTATGAACAACTGACTGAATTCCATTCAGTCCTTAAGGTCAATAGTTGTAGACGAATTACGTTGCTGAGAGAATCCCTGTCAACGATACATGAACATATTCCTTATTTTTACATATTGAATTCCCATATTCCTTCGTGCTTTTATTCTTATAATTAATTTTTTTCCCAACCATATTTACCATACTTGTTTGTTTTCTGATAATTAGCGACACCATTATTATTTCTATTATATTTAATATTCAGCATGTTGACTTCATCTCAGTGTACTGTCGCAACTCGGGCTAATGGTTACTTAATACATTGTCTTGTGGATTTTGTCTGTTTGATTATTTATAAATGATTTTCTGTTTTGTAAATATTTACTATATTTGTTAATAATATTTCTTAGAAGTAGGTTTTAATACCTACAGAATGCTCTAATTAACCCGTTATTTCAACAAAATATATCAAATCTTTAAAAAAGATACTTTAAAGATATATATTTATTGTGATGCATAAGTTTAGATTTGAGTTATTTTGTATTTCAATAATATCGTTTCTCAACGGAACAATTGCTTTGCGTCTTTTGGACTCCTGCAATATATATTATATCCTATGCTTAATGGATCAACAAGCTGTGATTGGTCCACAATCATTTTTTTCTTAGTTTTATCAATTATTTTGTGATTTTTTTTACCTTTACATATGTATATCTATACTCGTTGAAATAATCATTTAGTACATACAGCTTGCCAATCCCCAAAATAGTAGCCTTAGTTTTTACGGATCAGTAATTAACCCAATGATTGATGCTGAGATATTTTAGAGTATTAAAGAAGTTATTATTTATAAACAAACAATTTAATCACAATAATTTGAATGTGTCAGTTAGGAAATGTAAAACAGTGTCATTATTTCATCAAATGTTAAAACGTCATAATAAACCATCGTTTTTATTCATTTCCATTGTGTGATATTTATATTAATTTTATTAGTTGGGATTATGAGTCAATTGAAGCTAGACCACAATGGAAAACCTGGAAGCACTGGACGGCCGTTTCGTCCTACTGTAGGACTCCTTGGCAGTGGGATGAAACGGCCGTCCAGTGCTTCCAGGTTTTCCATGGTGGTCTAGCTTCGATTGACTCATAATATCAACTATTAAAATTACTATAATATTCACAAAATCCTTTCTGATGTTTATATATTACATTTTGTTTTAATGGGTCTACTGTTTTTGAAATCAAATCAATAATTACCATTTCGTATAACTTACAATAAGTATGTAATCATATAATCGTTTTATATTAGACAAGATGCAAAACAGCATTGTATAGAGAATCTTATGATGTGTTGTTGAAGATAGTTTTATATGTATTATTATTTAGCCAAATACTTACATGTTCACGATTTCATTGACTTATTGATATTGGTCAAATTGAATAGGTTATTTATTATTAGTTACGCAAATGTTGTTTAATACAACAGTAGTTATAATAATCAGATCTATTGAGAATATTTAATAATATATTGCCCAATATTCATCATATATTTGTATTAGCTAAATTTAGCAAAATTGCTACAGAGACTATTCACCTCCTTTTCATATTGATCTTAATTATCATGTAAATTATTCAAATGATATATTTATGTACTCATATTCGTGAAGAATACACTCACTATATAATTTTGAAAAGTATTTTCAACTTCCCAATTTATAAGTTTTTTTTTTGAAAATCAAAATATTTAGTCTGTGCTTCATTCAAGTTTCATACAGGATACACGTGCTATATTATTGATGGCAAAATCCTATTTGTGTTGTGCAAAAACAATACCCCTTAGCATTTAATGGTTTTTTCAAATTGTCACTATGGTTTCAACTTTTATCACAATAGTATCTACTTTTTTTAAACTTAAATGCATTATTATATATTTTTTTCTTTTTAAATTTTTATCAGAACTGGATTGTCGACCACACTGTGGTGATACATATACCACTTTTCCTACTCTACAGAATAAATTTAACCGTTCGCGAAGCATAAGTGAACATAATACAAGTCTAGATCATAACTACGATAATGTAAGTCTATCTAATTTGTCACATGATGCAGAACATAATTCGCATTTTTGGACTATGCCAAGCCCACCGGACGTACCTCTCCCTCCATCTTATTGGTCTAATATTAACAAGCCTGCACACGACTTGAAATTAAATAATAAGACTAAAGATGATAAAGAAAAGAACCAACGGAGTAGGAACGAAAAAAGTACTGGGTCGTCTAAGATTAAATCTCGTTCTCATCATTCTGCAGAACGTAATCAAAGAAATCCTATTACTCGTTGTGACAATCGTCCACGGTTAAACCACAATAGTGAGGTTTGTCAGAAAGCACCAACTCCAGTCATGCCGAAACAAATACCAATGCCCGATTTCGAAAGACAAAATGTTAATAGACCTCCAAACATGCATCAGTATCCTCCTCTTAACCAAATGCAACCTCAATTGCAATCTGCATATCAATCACTGCCATTTCTGCAGTTTCAACGGGTAATGCCATCTACAGTATACCCGATTAATATGATGACTCCATATCTGTATGGTCAAAGAATGCCTGATTCTTCCTATATTTCATATCCTTCGTATTCCCCTTCGCCTATTTATCCACCTAACTTTGTAAATCGTGCACCTATTCCTCAGTTTCCATTGATGTCGAATCCTAATGCTCAGGTTTTTAACTCTACGATAAACTACGAGAATACTCACCGGTATGTTAATTCATTATTTTTACTACACTGTTATTTGCATGTTTTTGTTATTCGTTCATTCATTAAATCACAGAATAGCAGGTAAATTAATATCTGCTCTGGGAAAAATTTATTCGACTTTACATTAGAAAAATCATTTGCTGCAACTACTGAGTTTATTTTTACATGCATCTAAACGCTTCATTTTTTTTGTTAATTAATGAACAAAGATAATCTGTGTTTAGGTTATGAGTATTCTATTTCTAGTGTCTGTTGAAAAGATCAGTGAACATATTCATAAATATGTTTTAATTAAATTTTTATCTGAAAATAACTCTGAAATTTTTTTAACAAAAAGAAATGAGTTGTTGCATAGTTAACCTTAAAAGAATAGACTATTGTTTATTGATTCTCTCATGAACAAAGTGTTTCTGTCGAAAAAACTATGATTCATTATACTATGTATCAAAATGGTAAAGGTAATATTTGTTCAATCCAAAGCATAAATATGGAACGAATCATATTTGGACATTTCAATGAATATAACAGATAATTAGATGTGTTGGTGATATAGTTAGAAAATAAATCTAAATGAAGTCAACCGGTAAATTTTCAGTTGATTGCTTTTGTACTTTTGAAAAGTGTGTTTCCTTTTTTTTCATGGAATCTGTACATCTGGGTGCTGTGCAAAATAAACTATATTAGATGGTGGTTGGAGGTAGTCGACAGGAAACCCTGGACCCGGGTTTCGTGCTACGTGGCACTCGTCAGCAAGGTGTACCTTTAATCCTGAGGGAACTGGTGCTCCCTGACGGACTCGATCCCGTGTTACCCAGCTTCATAGTCAGAGACATCACCACTGAGCTATCTGAGCTGCGACCGACCTCCTTTAGGACTGAGATGTAATCACAATTGATTGATCACCACCCAGGAATTTTAATTAAGTCACCATATAAAAAAACACTAGATTGTCAACGACAATTTGGAAAATGTGAAATTCTCATTGGAATTTCCGGACTCGTTAATTTTCCACTTTTTTCGATAGGTTTAACAACCCGCCGATGCTATCATATGGGGAAAGAAACAGTCGGGATTCCTTCCGTCCTCCTGTTAAACAGGATCTACCATCTAACCGACCAACTACACATCATCATAATGCTAATCAGTCAAGACGTTTTATTCCTCCTCAGGTTAGTGTATATTCTATGATTTACTAAACTGTACACATTCTAATTAAATAGATTCGCGCTTCACTAGAGTGATAATGATGTTTCTTTTCGAAATCAGTAAATTATTTACGCTTATTCATCTCATGTTCAACCACATTAATATCAACTCAGATTGTGATTATAGGTACACGGGATGGAATTATCACATGTTAATCAGATTCTTACGTGATAGCCTCAAATATGATATTTTATCGTTTGCTTATCTAGTGGTGACTCTAATTTACTGAATTATGTTTTCCAGGATTACCACCCTAATGTCCCATGATATACGAGCAATGTTTCGTAAACACCTATAATCGAAACATTGCTCGTATATCGTGGGACCACCAAGTAAGTAATGCAGTTGTTAAGAAACGGGTACTAGGTAAGGATGGTAAATCAATTGATGAAGTAGTGAAACTTCATCAGTTGAGATGGCTGGGACACGTGTTACGTATGCCCAACGACCGACTACCTCGACGTTCAGTGGTATAGGAGTAGGTTGGAAGAAAGATAGGGGTGGCCAGACCAAAACATGGCACAAGTCCATGAAGTCACTGACAAGTAGACCGAGTCATGTTGGTAGGTGTAGAATACCTGGTTGGGGACCACAAGATGATAGCAGCCGATGATTAGAGACCCTGAATGACATGGCTCAAAATCGTTTGCAATGGCGCAGCCGCATCCTCTTTGTGTTCTGCCAAATTCTAATCTTCTGAATTCTTCGTGTCCTTTTTTTCTCTTTCCACATTTATTTCACTGGATTATACTCTTTGAATAACGTCTTCAAACCCTAATCTTTTCGATTACTGCTTTTACTTTTACTAACTCTACCACTACGGGATTTGAATCGACAACTGCATCTCTGTGCTAATGTGGTATGGTAACTCGAACTGATGTACGTACGTACGAAGTTCTACGTTGTTACTGACCGATACCTTAATGTGTGTTAAACTTGAGTTGTCACCCGTTTAGCTTCCCTAGCATTATGTTTTTAAAATAATCTGGAGTGATTAGTTAGTACCTATGTTTAGTTTTCAATCAATAACACCAGGTCCAAACCCTGACATTTTTACTACAGTCTGAGCAAATGAGCAGTAATATTACAAGCTTTCATATAATACAGTGTTTTTATGTATATGAGTTTGTACTTGGTAAATGAATTAGATTGTTTGGATTTTTTGTGCTGAAACGTATCGAAGTCAATCAATATTATCGAAAGGGAATCAGCTTACAGACAAACGTGTTATTACACAAGATGTTCATATTCAGACTCTTTATGATTGTTCTTAAGAGAACAGACAGTTGTCACAGTGTCAATTAGTAAGATAAATCTTAATACAATTTTGCTCAAATTATTTTGACTGGTATGGTAACGCAGCAGACATAATCGAAATATAGATCCTAGATTCCAATTCGTATATTGTATTTAGACCAATCGCACTTATACAACAAGATATTATATTCCAAGCAAACGTATGTAGCAACCAGACAAAAAGTGTGCTAGATGGTATACGTTTGTATTGATCGGATTAAATCAGTGTACTAATAAGTGACTCAGTTTATATAACCTTACATTTAGTGCAATCATTAAGTATCCAGAATTACATGCAGACAAACTCTGACACGTGAAAAATATGATGATATGATTAAAATTGCACATGTCTGATGGTCTGTCTGGTTTCATTCTTACTTGTAATAGGATAGATTTACAGAGGTTACTTGAAGGTCTCTAGAATGCTGATTATTGTTTCTCTTTATCTTACGTTTCTAGGCCTTTCATTTCCTAACTTTGTCCATATCTACAACCTCATATAAGAATCATAATTTGGGTAGAGTAAATTAACGGATTGAATTTGTTGTGTACTTCCCGAAGTAGTAGTACTGTGTATTGAATGTGTCCTGATGACGTAGCAATACATAACAAGTTTCTGATCAGATATAAGAGTAAGCTACCAACTATAGTGTCGGTAAACAGAGCATGTCCTAGCTCTGCCTACCTTACAGATTTTGTTTCAATACTCTACTATTGTAGTGCTATGATCCTTTCATTCGTTATTTATCGAAATTTGAATATCCTTATTATCTCTTCTATTTTTCCTTAGGTTTCACGAACGCGTCGACCTTGAATTGGGAAAACATTGCTTTTCCTAAAGACAATCACTTTTAATTGCTCGTTCTTCTTTAAGGGAAAGTCATTTGTTTCTTTTCCAAACTTCTTCCAGAACATTTTTTTTGTTTAGATTCCCTTGAAATGTATTAAAATGTTTATCGAATTGGGACTGATATAATGTATTTGATAATGACTGCTTTTTTACGGTTTGGTTTTCATCCTTTCAAAATTCTTTGATTGTTTGTTTATTAATTATATTTGTATAACATCCTTTTCTAACAACTAATTTAAAAGACTTAATTAAAATACATGTTCAATTCCATAAATGTTATCCTTTTGAATGTATGGAGACTGTATGTGAGTAAATTGACGATTTCATGATGTCTTCTGTGTTGTAATGGACCGATATCATACGAACGATCCTTATTTCATTCAACAACCACTAAATCTAATTGAGCAAATAATGGTACTGTTATTTTCTATGTAAATTGAATACACAAATTAACAACTTAGTACACAAATAACGACGAGTTTGCTTATACTAAACACATTGCCAGTTCTTAAACTATTCAAGAACTTCTTACAGACAATAAATGGTAATTTTTACATTCAATATCCAATCTCTTTTAATTAAAACGTCTCAAACCAAAAAAAGCGCGTACTACAAAAAATATTTTCTTCAGAAAAAAAGAACGTGACTTGAACCGTAAAAAATAAACGAAGTGTAAAATCAAACCTGGATCGTTTTTTTCAAAAACACAATAAATTTAGAGGTAAAAGCTATTCACTTCAGTACGATATTATAAGTCCAGTGAACATTTGGATATATACAAGCAAAGGATTAAACAATACGAGAATTTAGATTAAAGATAATGAAACATCTTAAAACTAGGATATGCAAAACAACGAAATTATAGTGAGTGATTACTGTTTAATTGTAGTATGTTCTCTTCTAGATTTTGCCTTGAATTAATAAAGCCATTTAGCTGGTACCCATTGTGGTTCTGTTAGTAAATTATTTAAATGATAATTTAATTGTTCAAAAGTTGTTTCAATATTATCACATAATAAAATTAAATCCATGAGATAATTGTATTCACGTTCTATGTAGGTACTGGTTTCAAGTGTTTTACGAAATGTTTCATCCTGATTGATTAGAAAAAAAATATTATTATTATTTTAGAAGGTGAAATATAATGACAATAGCTAAAATTATGGTATAACATCAAACTAATGACTTTTATGTTTCTATGCGAAAGTCGAGAGTTTATGTGATGTTTAACGTTACATTAAGTAAAAATCATGGTAGAAATTACGATTATATAATGATCAGATTGTTAAAAAGGATCACACGTTAAAAAAAGTTTTGTTTACAATGTAAGAATAATGTTGAAATTATCAATAATTGTTTGAAGTGGAATTTTCCTATGCACAAAATTTTTAGACAGACTTTAAAATTAACAGTTATGTATAATCAAATAAATTTCCTCCATTGAGACTCAAAATCAAAATGTTAGGTAATTGTAATCCGCGAAAATCGAACAGTGCAACATTAAAAAACTGAGAGTTATGACATTCAAAGAGATGGGCAATTAATGATTACATTTATAAGAAACGGTTCAATTTCATGGCAAAGTACTTTTTTATTAGTGTACAGTTATTGGCCTCGCATATGATCGGTCTCCATAGTTGTTTGAAATAAGCTAAACGCTGTTATCAATAATTAACTGTTCAAAAGTTTTTAACTACTGAATATTATTTGAACATAAGCGAACTTTGCTTCATCTTGATTGTATTGTGATTACTCGTTACAAATAGTGTAACCACTGCATCGGTATATTTTTACAACAGTGTGAAACAAACCGCTAAGTGTTCCCATCATTACACGATAACGGTTATCAAGTTTGCAAAAGAAGCTTATCGGAATGTGCAAGCGCTGGTAGAAAACAATCATCAGACAGAAAGTTTTGAATTATTCTCTTTCTGTTGTTCTAAAGTTCGTATAATTTGTTCACTACTTTTTAATACATAGACAAAAATATTGGTAGTAGAACTAACTAATTTTAGGTAGATTAATGTAACTCAAATATTCTCTATTTGTGCATATATCCTAAACGAATTTAAATAAATGAGATTTGTTACAAAAGTAAATTTTACAGATCCACACATAATCATAATTGGAAAAGCAATCATTAAATTCTTAAATAAAACATACTCTTTTCCATTTCTCAGTGAAACCCATACTCATGCCATATTCATACATTGCTTTCATACAACTAACCGATGGAGCAGCAAGAAATACAACATAAGGCATAAATTCTGAATTTCTTAACTTGGACACAGCTTGTACCGAACAATCAAGTAAGCATGTACGGCCTGCTTGCACTACTTCTCGGATACTATCATATTTTGTACCATAGAAATTATCTTCATATTCGCCGAACTTCAATTTAAAAGGTAAAAAATATACATGAATAGAAGTAGCAAATGTATTGATATACAATCACTTTTTCATAAAATTACTTTATTCAAGAGTTAAACTGAGAGTTCTCACCATAACTTCCTAAAATGTATGATATAAAAGGTTACAGACCCTATCAGAATTTTTTTATAATCAAATACTTATTGTTTTAAAGTGTACGTAAGTTGTTCATTACTTCTAAACACATAGAAGACAGTATTTGTATTAGTAGTACTGAATTTGATATACTATTAATTGATGTTGGTAGTTGGACCAATGTAGTTCAGCTTAAAAATATTTTCCATTTGTACAGTTTTGTAATTGGATTCACAAAAACGAGAACCCATTGTTTAATTCATCTTATTTTACAGCTAAGTATATACAAAACCTAATATGTTCTGCAACATGTCAGTATGGATAAAGTAAACTACAAGTTGTAAAAGTACAAAATCAACTTAGGATTTCAACGCTAAAACGCTGAATTTAAGAATTGTTTTATTTAGTTATTGATATTGCGTTATGACACAAAATTTCGCTACAATAATTTAGATCTTTTCTCTACATTCTAACCAGTTAACATAAATAAGTGATATGGGAAGAAAAATAGGTTAATTATTTTAGCGGGACCTGAAATACACTCAAGAAATCCATGCAGGATAGACAGTTGTTTATGAAGATAACGTAAAAAAGAAAAGTTTTTTTAACTAGGTCAAGCGTTTCAGGGAGCGCTATGAAGACTGGAACTAGGATGAGAAGTCCCGGCGACTGTTGACTTTACGTGCTGTAGATTTTAGTAGATTCACTTACCAGATAAAATGGGCTAAATCCAAAGAAATTTTATCATGGGCACAATTATAGCAAAACGTGGAACGGCAAGGTAGTTGAAGAGCTTTACTAACAGAAATAATGTAAACAGTGGAAATGAAGACTGGTAAAATGTATTGCCATAAATGAAGAATATTCTAATGGAGATAAAATTGATCTACGCTAAAGTTTATTTTTCCGAAATGACTTTCCACAACCTCAATTTTTGTATAAATTGAATAAAATACTGATGATCAATCTCCAGTAATTTTTCCTCAACAATGAGAACCATCAGCGAAATGAGATTCAAACGTTATTCAATAATTTTTGTTGAAAACCTAACTATTATCATGTATTTTCAGTTCAGAAGAAAATTAGATCAGTAACGTAGATAAGCAGTATACACTGAATTAAACATACAAATAAACTGTAGGAAATCATTTACCACTTCATGTCTATTATTTGGAAAGTTATTCGTATATACTGATTATAATACGTATGCAAAAGATATTGACATCCCACAAGAAAAAAGAAAAGAAAAAGACTTATAATAGATGTGAATTACCAATAATTTATGCCCTTGATAAATGGTTTTGTTGTTTTAATAGACGATTCATTCAAACCAATATTTGATTAAACCAGTTGACTTATTTCATATAAAAAAGTATGTTAAGATTATTTACAAAATTCATAATTCATCTCTGTATTCTATCCAATTAAATAGTGTTTATTTCTGTGTAATCCAACCACAACTTTGGTAGAAACGACTTATTTTTATTATTACTTTAGAAATATCCTCTTCTATAATTTCATATTTAAATCATCTAGCAACATTCTTAGTAATATTTATGTAATGAATAAAACTAATTAATTGATTCAACATTGAAAATTTAAATTTACTTCAAGATATTTATTTTTCAAATTATCCATTTCCATTTTCTCTTTCGATTCAACAATAAATTCACCATCATCCTCTTCTCCAACATCTAATTCTTTTGATGTATCTAAGGTCAATAAAAAGAAATAAATAAACACGAATTAATTTTAGAGTGGAGTAATTTAATAAAAGAGAAAATAGTAAAAAAAATTCTTTGACGTGGGTGGTTTACCGAGATTCTTCAGATGAATCTTACATATGGAGAATTGATTTTAGATATAAAAAAAATAGTCCTGCTACACAGCTGTCTGATTCTACTTTGAGAGGGGACTTGAAGGTAGAATACATGTAACACACAAATCAACGCTGAACCAAATCTTAATTCTTAACTTCTGATCCTAACTCTAACCAGGAAAAAATGTGCAAACTCCTAAAAATCTTTCTAGGTCTTAATAAGCGTTTGATTAGACGAATCTACTATATTCATATGAATGACATTAATTATGTAAAATCTGTTTGCATCTTCTAATATAATTGTTTTTCCCCATAAACTATTCATTTACAAAAGTTGTTTTCTTATTGGTTAACAGTTGGATAAAATTCGCCTCGGTCGTTTTAAACACATCTCTATACTACACTCTTACCGGCTTCAATTCATATTGAGTTCATAAAATGATATTAATTACTGTTGATATAAGACAGAAAAGATAATATAAAAGAATAACAATAATAATACAGTGAAATTTATTCATATTTATGATTACTTGACTGATTGAGATATTCTATACCATAGAATGGTAAAAAAATTAAAATAAATAAGCTTAACTGAAATAATATGTAACTTGTTGTATACTAAAAGGAAATTCCTAATCAATTTACGTGCAATAGCTGATGCATATCTCTCTCGATTGGCACGAATAAGCATATTACGTAAACTTCGACGACCAACTCCAGGAGCTCCGATTAAACAAATAACAGGACGCTGGAAACCTGATACCATAGCAACTTCTTCATAAAGTACAATATCTTTAGTATCATAATTATCAGCATCTCTTGCACAAAATGGTATAGTGACCTATAATGAAAGTTATCAACAACAAAAAAAAACATGATTGACCTGAACATTTTTGTTCATCAGATTACTCATATAAAATGGTGATCTATATTTATCAACTTTATAGAGTTTAATCCAAAATAATATGTGCTAGAAATCTGTTAAATTACCCATAGAATTTATTGTTTTTATATTTAACTAGTGCCCTGAAATCATTAATACAAAGAAAAAAAGGCTTATATGGAGTGCAATTGTCAATAATTATGGTGTTTGAAACCTTGGTACTAATTTCTAACCGCTTCTTAGTTTCCCAAAATAATCCTGAATACAGACAAAAAATGGAAAGCGAGAAAAGAAATTTTACTTGTAAGGTTAATTTATAGTTAGAAAACAAGGATATTTATAAGTATTTCTGTAGACTTGGTACTCTGAAAGCTCCTGAAAAGATCTTAAATTTATTAATAAAACTGGCGATCATCCGATAAGGATACGACAATTTATCGTTTTCTAAAACTTTGTATTAAAAGTTGATTGTATAAAGTTTTTTCAAGAATTCCCAAGTGTTCCTAACTATTTTCCCGTGTTTGTCAGTTAGATAACCTCCGTCCACAATTAATTTGTTCCGAATATAATTGTTTCCGTTACCTGTGTTTGCTGTTTACAAAATATATTGCTACCTTATAATATTTATTCTCCTCTTACCATGTAAATTACCATTAAACAAGCATTGAGAACTTATTAACAACTGCTTAATAGAGCATATTTATTTTTAAATAGTTCATTTCATAAACCGACATTACCTCGACACCCATTAAAAGTGAAGGAACATTGGATAGCTGCTTTGTCCTGGATTGAAACCCTTTAGCGATGTGCACTCATGGTTACACCCGGAATATGAACCCACAGTCTTCACACCTCTCAGATAGCAAGTTACCTACAAACTACTGGGTTCACCTCTACAATTTATTTTACAATTAGTTGCGCAAGAATCATCCAGTGCCACTGGTGATAATTGTTAAACTCCCTACATCATTGAGCTCAGTGGGTCAGATCACAAATGAAAAACATGACAGTCCTACCCTTATAAAATCATTTGCTATTGTCTTTCTAAACTACTACAAATCTGATGATGTTCGAAACAATCAAAGAAATATTTACATCGGGATTCACAATCACCAATATTAGAATTCTGAAATTCAGTACACTTAAACAGTACTTTCTTGTTAGAATAGAATCGGAACAAAAATTGATACAAAAAAACATGAATTCATTATATTTGGTGGTTTCTCATCAACTGCTTACAACCATATATGTGTTGAAGGTTAACATTGAGGTAAGAAATTATGTGAAATTGACGTAGATGAACGAAAAGAATTAAAATGTCGGTTATCAATCATAACTATGTGTATATATGCAAAAACAGGTTAGAGGTTATTTGGTGTTGTAATTCAAAAACATAAGGAGTGGGTGGTGCATTAATTAAATGAGGCCTGGAGACAGATAAGATTAATTGTGTGAAAATTTTAGAGGTTATGAAAGGTTGACATAAGATTACTGGAATTAATAAGATGAGTTACGTAATAAGTGAATACGAAATGAAGAATTTACATAAGTTAACAGAATTAGTTAAGGAAAGACTGTATAACAAAATAAACACTAATAAGATAATGACAAAAATAATTCACAAAGGTAGTGAAAAGTTTATTACATAAGTCAGATCTGAGTTTTTTTATTGCTCTTGCTTAGGTGCGCTTTTGTGCATGCTGATAATTTTGAAGGATTGAGGACTTTTAATGGAATGCCCGATATTAATTAAATGCTGAGTCAGTGCACTTATTTAGAAGAGTTACGCCTCTCAGTCTCAAATTCTTTGAAATGTGCTCAGAAATACGAACATGTACTATTCTTTATGTTCATCCAGTGTATGTGCTTTGGCACGTACTTATAAATGTGTAAATGCATTTGGAGGTACTGAGAAAAAGATGACCTGTCAATTTTGTTTGTTTGAGAGAGCAGTGCATTTCATATAACGTCGTCAGTTTTGCTGATGGATGAGCAACCTGTAATGCGGCATTTGTCCTGTGGTTAATCATTCCAATGACTTCATCTACTTTGAAGCGCGAATATAATTAGAAGGATTTCTTATCAACGGTATCGTGCTTAACCCGTAAATTGGTTTTGATATACTTCTCTATGAATTTCGTTGGATATGCATTTTCGCGTAGGCGATTTGTGATGAAGGCAAGTACTTGCTTCCAGGCTTTCCTTGGAGCAAAGTATACGGGCGCGGTTAAAAAGAGTTCGTACAATTCCCTTTTTGTAACTTATTGGACAGAAACTGTTGAAACTGAGGTAAACTTTCTTGTTAACTTTGTCTGACATAAAATATTAAACTTGGGATCCCATCCCCGTCCTCAATTGTTATAACTTGTAACCGCCGATTAGAGGGCAGTGACTTATCGATCGAACCAATGACGCGTAAAACACGTGCGAGCAGTCTAGAGTCTTGATTGGTCCTGCTTTTCGTCCAGCCCAGCCAGTTAAGTTCAGAACACCAATCCGAGCTTCTGTGATATGAACCATTATATTTCAAACATACTGAGTTTATATACCGATCAAACAGACCACAAAGTACCAATAAAATATGAAACAACATTTGTACAAGAATTAGCAAGATGTGGCTGTGAATGAGGGAGGTAGTAATTAATATACTGGGTAGAACTCAAGAATGGTAAAATGTATAATAATAGTTTATGGGTCAAAATAAAGCTTATAATAAGGGTATATGAATATACATAGTTTAGTTACTTAATAATTATACAATAGAAATATACGTTTAGTATTGGTTCATAAATAGACCCCAAAAGTTACTATTCATTATTCTTGTCGGGACATAACACGAATACGGCGTACAAATGGAATTGAAGTGAATTATCATATTGATTGATAAATCTAACTTTAAAGTAGCCAGTGAGTAAATAAAATCTCAGTAGACTTTCTGAAATTGATGAACGTGTAATTAAGTGACGTAGGACTAAGTAGTAAAGTTAGTATTAATGGTTTTATTTAGACCATAGTATCAATATTTCAAGGCATACACTGTCATAACACAATTTAGTGAACAAGATAAAACAACACGAGGTGAATTCCTAGTGACTGATAATTTTGTGTCGTTCATTCTTATGAGAGATCAGTTGAGAGCCGAGTAATTTACTTGTAATTTCTCTGATTTTAAAGAAAACAAAGGATAGTCTGAACCGCAATGAAACTATTTATTTATCTCCAAAGCGTTTAAATACATTTTGTTAACTATCATGAAACCGAATTTCTTCGATATCAATAGATTACTTATCGATAAAACTAGCCAAGCGCAATTGAAATAATACATACATACAAATAAGTGTTATACACAGAGAGATAATTAGTAACTATTTACCTTTTTCTTTCTACGTTTTGCAAGTCCACAAGCGAACATTTTATAAGTTAGCTCTTCTGGATTAGGCGCACTTTGAATAAAGGCTTTACGTCTTTCTTGTAGTACTATAGATGGAATTAGACCAGCACGACCATCTTGATTATGATGTCTTGCCTAAAAATACAAACACACAAAATGATCAGTTAAATATAATATATGGAAAAATCTTATCTTATTTGAAACTCAATCTTTTTTATCATACTTTCTAAAATAATTAACTGTATAATTTAAAAACGGAAATTCACCATGCTTTCATCAATAGATTTACGAACATGTTCGCGTTGCATGAAACTTTTGACATGTTAAAGTGATGAATATTTTATTTCTATAGCAGTTATAAATCGAGAATATGAAGGCTTCAAGATAAAAGCCCATAAGGGTGTTGGTTTTAATATAACATTCAGATCAAGATGGATCGGTTTCTATTCCAAGGGATGCCTTAAAAGTATGTCTTAATATACTTTATTTATTTCCAATATTCTTTTGACTTCTGTATTTTTTTCAACATCGCTTCAAACAATTTATTCATATGCGAAAATAACGCGTTGTTTCACACTAAACCCACTGGCGCGTTTTTTTGTTTTTAATACATATTTTCTTTAGTTTACTCTTTGCCTACACAGCACACCCATATTCCTACATAGATCCATTAAACAGTGTGAGATAATTTTCAAAATACTCTTCATATTCCTTCTTTATATCAAGGTTGCTGATTACGAAAACGTTATAGGCTACGCTGATATTTACTGATAGTATTATAATTCGAATAAATTTATTGTAAATCTATAACTTGCATAACCCTCTTCATAAATACCAACCACACTTCGACGACCATAGAACGGGAAATATTTTAATTTTCTCTGACAGATAAATAAAAGAATCACCATAAATTAAAAAATAATTTTTTTCCGTCAATTTACCTGCCACCAATAAGGATCTTCTTGTTTAAGAACTTGAAGGACAGAACCGGCTGAAAATTTTAAACCAGCTTCTTTGCATGGAATTAAATTATCATTTTTCGGATCATAAGAAAAGTGAGCTCGAAGAAAAAGCTTGGGAAAAATATGAACATTAAATAATAACAATAACAGTAATAATGAATAAATTGCCAAATTTGGATAGTTCTTTTTAAACACTTATTTTCAAGCAATATAAAAGTTAGAGTTAAATAAAATAGAAAGGGGACCAAAAATAACCATAAAGGGCAATCTGAATAGTTTTAGTAAATGTAAAGTATAGTACCACATTACAGGTTATTTGTTTTAGAGATAAAACACCATCAATCTCAAATTTATTGGTAATCGGAATAATAGAAAATTATTAACTGTATGAGATTATTATCTTCCAATGTTGATATTCAAAACTGAATTCATCAATTTCGGTTGTTATATGGGCTCCTTGAACAAACGTTTTCAGATTACTTGTATTTACTTGTTGATTATAATTTAAATAAGACTGAGCAGTGAAAATCAGTTCGCGCGTTTGATTATGTCTGTATTCAAGTTTCGATATTCTTAATATTACAAGTAATAATATAACGTAACCCTTTGAACAATTGATGGAAATCGTGACCCAGTAGCTTAGTGTGTAATGATCCTATGTTTTAAGTTATATGTACATAGCTTATATCCTAGTAAGAAAACAAACACTAGGATAAAAGTTTATTTAGTTGATGGTTCTTAAATATGATGAAAAGCCATAACTAAACAATAGTCGCTGGACACCCAGTTTCTTCTGTCAAAAATTCTTAATAGTTTTTCCCATGAGTTAAAAGTATAACTGTTGTCTTAAGTTAACGTACACCTTCATTTGGCATTCAAATCTAAGTTATTCAACTATCAGATTCACCAAACTTTTCATACTACAACTAACGAAGAAATTACCAATTCATACGTAGAATCATGGTTAACTAAGTAGTATTGTTCAAGGACTATTAATTACCCTAAATAATTTGACACTGACATCGTCCTAATTTATGCTAAGAAACATGAAACCAAGACCGAAAGTTGATTTTACAGATAAAAAAATAAAACAAATATATTTTATTGTTGTTATTTCGCTTAATTATGATGATAAATTTCCATGCTGACCAATTAAGAAGTATTAGTTAAGTACTATTAATCACGTTACAAAACAGTACGACTATTTTAAGGGATTTCTTATAACAATATATCGTATTTACAACCTAATAGCAACATTAAATCATAAAACAACTCTGGAATACTTATTAACAAATTTTAAATCACATTTGAATCCAAATTTGTTATCAAAAACACAATACTGTGTGAATGATATGCAATCTACATTCATATTCACGTGTAAGAGTAAAAAAAATAACTGCCAGCCCTAGCAGATTTTAAAATATGTAATATAATACAATGATATAATGTTAATGATCAATGTATTTTAACTATAATTCAATTGACTACTATCTATCAAGTGATAACTGTCTACCCTATAAAGAAGAACTGAAATTTCATTGCACTGAATTTATTTTCAGTGCAATACTTAACTGTAAGAAACATCTGACTTATAAAAATTCAATAAATTGAATTCGATTATATTTCATAAATATTGAAACATTGAACATGGATGATTTGAAAGTGGAACAATTTGAAATAACTAAAAATCCCCCCTTTTTTTCTAAACTGTAGAACACTCATGGAAAAAAATTTTTTTGAATGTTTGATTTCGTTAAATTACAGTGTAAATAAAAAAATATTCTGAACAATAATATAAAAAGAAAATCATTACAGTTTCCCATATATATGATGAATAATTCACTTGGTATTGTTTTATTTGAATCTTCCCATTGATGTTTTAGGACTGAAATTGATAAGTCTCTTATTGACAAATGTTCATACTGTGCGTATTGCCTCGATATTGCCTTAATTTACAAGCTTTATAAGCAAAGATGGATAGTTGCTAGCAGTGGAATCCAGGACGCGCGTTTCGTCCTGTTTGGGACTCGTCAGCTGGATGTACCTGCATCTCAGAGTTGATGTTCACTCTGGGACTCGAACTCAGTACCGTTCGCTTCAAACACCATCGCGTTATTCACTTAGCTACTGAGACTGATCAATTTCAGTCCTAAAAACATCAATGGGAAGATTCAAGTAAAACAATACCAAGTGAATTAAACTTCACCCCATCGCACAAGCAAGTAGCTATCAGGACTGAGTAGCTAAGTGGACAACGAGATGGCGTTTGGAGCGAACGGTACCGAGTTCGAGTACCAGAGTGAACATCAACTCTGAGATGCAGGTACATCCAGCTGACGAGTCCAAAACAGGACGAAACGCGCGTCCTGGATTCCACTGCTAGCAACTATCCATCTTTGCTTATGTGATGAATAGATTGTACAGATAATATGTATTAAATTCTCATAATTTTTTTAAAAACAAACTTATTTTTAAGTGAGATCATAATTATGATTGAAGATGTTTGATAAGATTTCATAAATAATTTTCAGTATTATGTTACTATCATAAATAAGTTACTTTAAAAACCGAAATAATACCTAATAGATCTTGTATTATCTCGTTACAAATATCAATCGATAACATACATTTCTATTTTAAGAAATGATCAAGTACAAACTTATTGAAGAGAAATAACACTAACATGAATTACTGTAAAAATGACTTCAAGAAGGTTGGAAATGTAATGTATTAAATATGATTTCAATAGTTTGAGGATTATTGATTTTTAATATTCTGTTATAATTTGTGGCTTTGTGCCCTATTAATTTATAACGTAATGGTACCGCCAATTAGAGAACAGTGATTGATCGATCAGACCAATGGCACAAAAAAAAGCCGTACAAGCAGTCTAGAGTCCTTATCGGTCATGTTTCGTGCCTAGATCTACCTGTTATGTTCAGAATACCAATCTCAGCCTTTGCTATATGAATCATGTATTTCAAACAGTCTGGGTTTATATACAAACCAAACAGGCCACATCATACCATAAAATAGGAAATAAAATTTGTACGAGATTTAGCCAAAAGCGGCTGTGAATATAGGAGGTAGTAATTGATAGACTGGGTATAACTCAAGAATGATAAATCGTATAATAAAAGTTCATAGATCAAAATAAAGCTTTTATTAAGGGGAACATGCATATGCATAGTTTAGCTATTTAATAATTATACAATAAAAATATATGTATAGTATTAGCCTAGAAATATATTCTAACAGTTACCATTCATTATTCTCGTCGGGATATAACATATTTACAGCTTAAGAATGATTCTGTTATATTTTAGTTGTTATAGCTAGTTATTGAGTTAGCTTGACCTCAATTTTACAAATTATAGTGAATGGAAATAAAAGTTTCAATTGTATATGAGTTTCTTCAAGGTAATATTTACCATCTCGTTAATTTATGATAAGAAACATGAAATCAAGATAGAAAAATGATTTTCTGCATGTAAAATTAGAAAAAATATCATAATGTCATTACTTTGCTTAATTACATAGATAAATTTGTGTCTATATACTGTTCTTGATTATTAAGGTTCAATCTACTAACTTAGCCGAATAGCAAGGGAAGTAGCTACACTCAACCGTGTCAAGTATTTACGTAAACATGGTAATACAGTGCATTTAATCAAGAGAAGATTAACTTGTCACAAATATTCTACCAATTAAAAAACATTTGTTAAATATTTTTTTTTACTCAACAGTGAAATAACTAACAGGATTAGTTTTTGTTTTCAGAAATCTTCAAAAACCTTTGCAACCCTCTCTCTAATACATTTTTAGATTGATTTAATTGTATTTAAAATAAACTTGAAAATACTTTCAAATTTTTGTAGGTCGCATAATGTAAAGAAAAATAATAATATTTCAAAACATGTATATATATGATTATTTCAATACTTTTTTATCACTAATACATACCGAGTTATATACTACTTGATTCAAAAAATATAAAAAGATTAAAGAATTGTTTAGTCAAAATGGATTTAAACAAAAAAACCCACTGAATTCCCATAAAGAAATTGAACATTTTTTATTATAAAACTATGAAATAGATGAAAAAAGTGAAATTTTAAAGAAAAAATATATTGTTCTTTATTAATCTTACTTGTGACGAAATAGGAGTTGACTGGTAACCAGGAATGATTTTCAATGTGACATTTCCAGATGCATTTTTTAATACTTTTTGTAATACTTCAGGATTATCAACTGGAACTCCATTTGCTTCACGAATCACATCACCTACGTGTAATAAATCTAGCTGTTCAACATGAGAAGCAGCTAAAATTCGTTTAATTACTAACTCTTTCACTAAACCATAATGTGCAGACATATATTGTTGTTGAATAACAGTGATACCCTGTATAGAATAAAACAATATGTCATGTGATATTTCAAAAAAATCAAACATTTAAATGAAAATTTCAGCATTTTATAAAAAGGCAGAGAAGAACTGATTATCTGGTAGTTCGCGAAAATAAAAATATTTATTTGATGATGTAAGACATAGTAACAATCAGTTCATTTCGCTGAGCAACAAACCTTCAAAATAATGTCAGTAAAACTTTCGACGTCTAGTCAGATAAGAATAGTGGTTATAAAAGAAATGCTTTTATCGAGAGATAACATACAACTATATAATTCACATCAGATCTACTTACATAAACACACAACTGTTGTCATAACACAATTTTCTTAACTATTTACACGAGATGTATCATATGCAGTACAAAAAAACTTACTTTCATTGGCGTTAACATGATCCGAAGACCTGTTTAGGATACGGTTAACAGGAGAACCATGCCACTTATTTATATTTGATAATTTTGATAATTAATTATATTTCCCTGAAAAGAGCTTGGATCAGATTGCCAATCGAAACGTTGAATTTGTTTGAAGTTTAATCGCTGAGATTTTTATAAATATAATCTAACTGCTTTATGTCTTACAATAACTTGGCGCCCAACTACTATGAAACCATTTGTTCAAATTTAAACGAAAGTTCTTATAGATTTAATTTGAAGGGTGGAGGGAACATATTCCCACGCTGACATCGACTAATCATCACAAAAGAGAAGTTATTGATAAAACCCATTCAATTTTATAAATTAATCGGAAATATGTGCAAAAAAGTAATGAAAAAAGGAAATAGAGGTGCCATAAATAATGAGAATAAATATTTTCATTCAACGTTGGCAAATATATGTTCTGAAAATTTAGTCATCGATGCGAAAAAAATTTCCACAACACAATAATAGTATATGTATCCTTATTAAAGTAAAACTTCATCTGAACGCGTGTTATGGACAGTAAAATCTTCTGAAAAAGTTCAAAAAAGTATATATGAAATTGTGTACAATTCGAAAATATTCGGTGAATAAGCTGTACGTAACACATGTTGCTACCTGCCTAAACAAATAAACTAAGTGTTGACATACAATAAAATGTCTTAGACTACTAAATTTAACAACAATTAAGCTCAGTGGTTACTTTTGGATTCCGTTTGTGAATAAATTGCCAACAAAAGTATATTTGCCAAGTCAGTCAGTCAGCTACAACGTAGGACCAGGCACATATGTACATCGGTCCAGGTTGCCATACCGCATCAGCACAACAAGATGAACACCGGATTCATAGCAGTGATTAGGTCAAAAGTGGTGATATATAAGAGAAAGATTGCATATAGGGATATAGTACAAGAAGAAAAAATTGGTTCGTAGAAAGAAAGATATGAAGCGATTTTAATCTCTTAGTTTAAGGGAAGATGGAGAGTGTATACACCGACGCCATTGTGATCGATTCTGAGCCATGTCACCAAGAGTCTTCAACCATTGGTTACGATAGTCACGCGGACCCCAACCAAGTAGTCTGCATCTACCAACATGGCTCAGACTAGAAGTTAGTGTCTTCAAGCACTGATGGCACGTTTTGGTTTGGCCGCCCCTAACTTTCTTCCAACCATCCCCTACACCGGTTAGCATTGCACGTCGTGGTAATCGGTGTTCAGGCATACGTAACACGTGGCCCAACCATCTCAGTCGATGAAGATTCACAACCTCATCAACTGATTTACCATCATTCCCTAATACCCTGCGTCTAACCTCACTATTACTTACCCGGTGATCCCAGCAGATGCCAGCAATATTTCTAAGGCATCTGTGGTCAAATACTAGTAACTTACGGGTGTCTTCTACTCTTAAGAGCCATGTTTCGCTGCCGTAAAGTAAAACAGAACGAACTGCCGCGCAGTATACTCGCCCTTTTATTGATAGACGGATATCTCGCCTTCGCCAAAGACGACGTAAGTTGGCAAAAGCCAAACGAGCTTTTCGAATCCGTGCTGAGATTTCGTCAGACACCAACCCATTAGGGCTGATCAGACTTCCAAGATAAGTGAAGTTGCCAACGCGTTCGACTACTTCACTCCCTATCCTTAGTTCAGGTGTTGACGCAGACCAGTCCTGAAGCAACAACTTGCATTTAGAGGGAGAGAAGCGCATTCCAAACATTCTGGCATTGTTGCTCAGTGCTACCAGAAGACTCTGCATTTTGTCAGCGTCTTCACTAAACAGGACTATGTCGTCTGCGTATTCTAAGTCGATAAGTGGACCTCCTGGATGGAGATCAATACCCGAGAACTCAGTCGACAAGAATGTTATTTCCATCAGTAGATCTATGATGAAGTTAAACAAAAATGGAGAAAGTGGACAGCCTTGACGGACACCACTTGAGGTTGCAAAAGTAGATGACAGTTTACCATAAGCTCTGACTCGACTAGTAGTGTTCGAGTAAAGAGCCTTTACAAGGTTTATGTGATTTTGAGGTATACCTTTCAATGACAGACACTGCCACAGCATCTCGCGGTCTACCGAGTCAAACGCTGCTTTTAAGTCAAGAAAGATCACCATTGTCGGACATCGATAAGTATGCCTGTGTTCTAGAACCTAACGAATGGTGAATATATGGTCGATGCAGCCACAACCAGGTCTGAAGCCAGCCTGATTTTCTCGTGTTTGCAGTTTACGAGTCTTAGTTAGGTGTCCGATAATTATCGAGGCTGGTATTTTAGATACTATATTAGTTAAACTAATCCCTCTATGGTTGTCACAGGATGATTTTGACCCTTTCTTATATATTGGGACGATAAGTGATTGTGACCAGTTAGATGGGATAACGTCTAACTTCCAGATTTTAGCTAAAATATTAGTCAACCTAATCGCTAAAATTGGACCACCATCCTTAAAGACCTCTGGAGCCAATCCATCTGGACCAGCTGCCCTTCCTCGTTTCAGATTAACTATAGCCTTTTGAACTTCAGCTAGAGTTGGGGGACCTACTTCAATGTTCCATTCACACTGTCTGGGAATGGAGGGTAGTTGTAGAGTAGCTGAAGGCCAGTTGAACTGTTCTCTGAAATGTTCCGCCCATCGTTCTAAACGCCTGGACTGGGAGCAGATGAGTGTATCGTCTTTTTCCGATATAATCTCACTTACACTTGACTTATTAATTCCAGTTTCTTTTATTAATCTGTAAAGCTGTCTTGTGTTCCCTATAGTCGCCGCCTTTTCCATCTCTTTTGCTTTCGTTGCCCACCACTGCTCACGGTCGTTTCTCAGACTTTTTCTTAACCTAGATCTGATTTGTTGTCGCTCTTCATCATGTTCGGAACCTGATGGGATGAGTTTACGAGAATCCATCAGTGCAATAGACCTTGAAGAAATCCATTGGTTCTTTGTAACCCTGTGATTTAAATCACTATTAGATGTCACTGCTATCTCCACAGCTGTTTGTATATGTTTCCAAGCAACATCTGGGTCGGCCTCGTTTTCAGAACTACCTAAGTGTGACCTCAATTGTTCCTGGAACCTAATTTCGGTTTTCTCATTACTCAATTCAATTCTAATGGGTCTTTTTAGTGTGGCTTTTTTGCGTCCGGTGAGGCGCAAGGAGATGCGTGCCCGTATTAGGGCGTGGTCGGAGTCCAAGCAGGTACTCCAGAATGAGCGACAATCTTCTACCGACCCTCTCTAACAATGACTGATGACAATATGGTCTATTTGAGTCCATCGTTGGTTTGGTGTAGGGGGTCGCCATGTTAGACGATGTCTCTCCTTATGCTTAAAATTTGTGTTTGCTAAAAATAAACGATTGTCTGAGCACAGTTGCAGCAGACGGTCACCATTATCTGTTCGTTGTGCCGGAATACTAAAATACCCACCTAAATGCCTTTCTGTATGGTTTAAACTACCTATCTGGGCATTAAAGTCACCTGCTACGAGTACTCTGTCTGAGCGTTTAGCTTTCTGAAGAAGTTCGGACAGCTTTCCGTAAAATTCATCTTTCACTTCATCCGAGCTGCAGTTAGTGGGAGCGTAGGCAAAAACGACGAAAAGGCATCGACCTGTGCCCCTATGCTTCCGAGTTCTTACGGAGCCGTTCAGCCGAACAGCACATAGGGGACTGTTAACGGTGATCCATTATAATAGTGCTTGTTCCACCCTCGTACTTAGTGCTATGTCTACCAGTCCACTAAAACTAGCCATCGGGTCACCAGGTACACAGAGGGTGTATCTCGTCGGCCCTCCGTTTTGCCGGGGTGAGGTCAAGTGAATGACCACACTGGAATCCTGTATGCGTGTTTCGGAGACACAGCATACATCAATGGAAAGAGACTCTAGGGTTTTAGCCAAGGAAGCCTGCTGACCGATTTGACGTAGGGTGCGTACGTTGAAGGCTCCAATGTGTAGTTTGGAGCGAGGTTTCAGTAGACCTGAGACAGAGTTTTGAGCACTAGAATCGTTGGCTATGGTGACACTTGAGGAGGAAGCCGAAAGAGGAAGTTTAGAGTTGAAAGTCGATGTAGGAGGAATAATAGGGATTGAAGAGGAAGGTTGATTATGAATACAGTGGTCTTGGGTGTTGTTAAAGGTATGAGGGCGGTTATCACTCCCCGGTTGCCCACACCGAGGAAGGGTTCTTCTGGAGGTACCTGAAAAGGAAATTGGATTAGAGGTGGTCTCAGTGACCTGAGAGCGTGACCGCAGTGCCCAAAGGACAACTGCTTGAGGCCGATCGCGCACGGCGGTTTTTGACGTGTTAGCTCCGTTCTTCAAAGGGCCTTACCGCCGGAGACGGAAATCCGTGAGGTAAGATGAGGTGTACATTTTTAGGGTCGACCTTTTCTAACCCCACCCCTCGTTATGGGAAGGCAGCATCGCTGTCATGTTGGTTGTCTGAAGGAAACACCTTACTGCTGTCACACCTCTGTACAGTCAGCAGTACGACTTCGCCTTCGGACCTTGGGTTTGTTGCTTTTAGTCTTACCGCTCTTCAACCGACCTGTCTGACATGGTAGGACCTTGAGGAACGGTTGTTTCAGCCAGTATAGCTCGGTTGCTTCATCACGATAGACAAGCCCGACCACCACGTCAAGGTAGCAACAACGGTCGGGATATTTGCCAAACACTAACTTGTTGAGCAACATTCGATCATAAGTACTTTGGTGTCTGGTATTTTTCAAATAAGTATAGTATTTGACTACAAAATAGTTATTTTACTTGCTAGTTGTCCTGTTTTTCAATACCGATTCAGTCACAGGCTAACGTCTCCTAATGGCCTGGTATGGTGGAGGGCGAAGGGAGTCCTCTCTCCCTCTCAAAATGCTCTCACATGGCCACACGTATACCGCCACTGTCAGGGAAGTCCTACTCTACGATCGGCGGAGTTTCTCGAGGAGCAGTTAAACTGACCTGGTGTCCCGGAAACATCGATCAGACTGTCCTGCTCTCCATGGTCTGTGACGACTGACCCACATAACGGGGCGGAAGTCCTCAAACTAACTCTTCAGGCGCCACAAATCGCCAGACCCAGACGACTTACGTCCGGCACTTTTAAAGACGGCGGCAACCTGATTTAGAAACTGAGTAGATTACAAACATCTGGCACTTATAGTGTTACAAAATCGTGGAATGAGAAGATAGTTGTCCCTGTGTTTAAAGAGGGTTCACGTCACTTATGCAACAACTATCAGGGATAAGTCTACTTCCGATGGCGTCCAGACTATTGACTCCTGTCATACTTCGTAGGTTGTTCGAATCCCAAGAAAGATTAGCTCGCGAGGAAAGTCGACTTTGGTGGCTTGGACATGTTCTGAGAATGTCATCCCAGAGAATCTCACGTAGTTCACTATTTGCCGACTCTGGGACTGGTTGGAAAAAGCGGAGAAGTGGTCAGTGTATGATATGGTGTCGTGATATGAAAGATGTACAGGACTGACTTCTTTTGGTCCTTCACAACCACATGGTTGCGGTCCTAGAAATAGGGTGACACAGTGGGTAGAGACGTTATCAGAAATGGGTCAGAATAAAAGCCAGTGACGATCCTGCTGTAACTTTTTTTAGTTTATTTATATAAGTGAGCATAACTTCTTTAACTGGAAGAATTCTCCCTGTTTATATTTTTGCTAAGTGAACTGCTTCTCCCATTATTTACTATTATTATTATTATTTCACTTCCATACACTAATTTCTGCTCGTCGTTGTTCTTAATTTATTATAAGCACTTTACACTCTCTATCTCTTGACAACTTCATTGTTACTGTGTGGTGCATATGTGTTTTGGTGCTTCCTTGTACCAATGTTTATATGTTCAAATAAAACTTCAATAATTTGGTGTATTAGGTAGTCATCAATCTGCCATGTAGTCTCAATACGCATCATACATGAACCGACATTCAATTTACTTATTTCAAGTGGCATGGAACTCCATTCTAATATAATCTCTAAATGTTGCCGACTTCACTAGCCTATTGATTGATTTTTGTTCTAAACTTTCTGAAATTCTAATATTACTCTAGATTTTCAAAACATCTTCATTTTCTATAACTACAAGCTTTCAAACTATATATCCGGACTGACTGTATATTTATCACATATACGCGACATCTCATAACCCATTAAATAAAAAAGCAACTCACTAAATCTTCACCATGATTCTTTTGAATCCCGATCATTTTTACTGCACCATCTACAGGTGGTAGTGCTGGACCATCGCCACCTCCAGTAAGTGTAGCTTCATTTTTTCTCAAGTCAGTATACACATTTTCACTACCAGCACCGTACATAATTGATCGTGAATTATATAGTTCATTGGGGATTCCATTTCGATTATCTTTTATAATACCATCTCCAAAACTTCTGTCAGCCACATGTAAATTAGATGCTTTGCTGGCTAGAAAACTCCCTAGATTTGTATGAGTACCACCCAGGCCCGACGTCATGTACGCTACCTCAGGTAATTCAGGCATATCAAAGTGACTGGTTGTTATTTCAGTGTATGCAGTAGAAAAGCTACGCCATACTGGAGAACTAAGTAGTTGAATTAATTCATTCGCTTCTACATCCAAAGGATCAATGGTTAATGGACCATCATAAAGTGCTTCTACTAAGTCATTGGTAATCGCATTTAGATCTGTATCTTCATTCGGTACTTGTTCACAAGGATAAGATATTAGATCATATATCTGAAGACATTAAGGAGTAGAAAAACAAAATTTCATTAATTTTACGTCAGAGACATATACGTACCCACTTGGTCTTGGTTTTAAGAGTACTGAAAAATAGATGTTAATTCTAAGCCGACAGGATTCGCACATTACAATTTCCAGATGGCTATTCCACCAATTTCATTCTTTATATCCAATAATCACTTATATACTTCTTGTTACTAAGGGTATGTAAAATGTCACACTTCGATTTATATTTTGATCTACTAAAAATAAAATGAACGGATATTGGAACACGAAGAGTTGGCAAACCGAAGTAGTCAGTATTACACAGTTTTACGCATTAAAATCAGAAATCTGTAGCCGATTTGTCCAAAATTGTGATATGAGTAAGCAAGTAGCTTATTAATCCAGTCAGTTAAGTAATTCAATGTACATACTTAGGTAAATGATAAAACATCATCGTTACTGACAGTGTAATGAGAAACACATATATTTCGCGAAATAACTTTCCACTTTTTGTAAAAACCCAAACTAGACGACAGATATTACTAGAGATTCCAAAAACATACGTTTGCTTAAAAACATAAAACTCTTGCTGCATATATGTTAACGAGCAAAATAAACAGTTTGACATGTCCAGGTTGGTAGAAAACAGATAATATACCTATATTAGACATGATTTCGTTAATTTGTATAACTACATAAGTACGAATGTAGCCTAATTTTAAGTTTTGAAAACGACATGAATAACTATCGTGATATTATCAGAGAGCACAAACGTGAGGAATATGAAAATACTTGGAGCCAGATGAATTAGAATATTTGATTAAACCTTAAACAAAGCTAGGCACGAGATGCAGAAACAAGATTACAAATAATTACATTTATTCGTTTTTTGGTGATATGTGATATGAACATTGTCTTGAAAAATATCCGATAAGAATGAGACTTAATATTCACATATTAGTTACAGTAAAAATTTCGAGGTACTGCCTTATTACCTAACCTAACTCAGTAAAATAGATTCTGATCTGTGATTTTGTAATAACTAGATAACTTCTGAAGACAAAAAGTAAGGCCTTATCCCGAATTGCTACAGCTTTATTATAATCGACAGGCCCTAAGTTCGAAGTTTGCTTCAACAACTCCAGTTTGAACATCCATGTAGTTTCCTAAATTCTCGCGCACAAGAGTGCATACACGTATACTTTGTAAGTAATTTACACTGAATAAATAAATTGGCAAAATAACAAGCCGAATAGTTATCAACACAAGCAATTTTAAAAAATTGAAGGCCTCTCTCAATTATAAATAAAAGCAGCTAAATAGACAATCCATGAGGCACTAATTGTATGACTAAAGCAAATCTCAACATCACGCTATGACAGTTGTAAGTTGATATAATAGTTGATATGAATTAAAGCATATTGTAGAGTTAGAAAATCCGAAATGCTGTGGACAGTCGTTAATGTTGGTCTAAATGCAGGATTTACATGACCTATTTTTCGACTTTATAACATGTACAAACAGATTCTTTTTTTAAAAAAATGATATAACGGTTATTTAAGGGTTCATGTAGCAAACTATAAACACTGACTCATATAAATTAAACTTACGAACAGTCTAACAATACTGAGTAGTATGAAAAAAACTGTGAACTGTGACTATACGGAAGATAGGTTCTAGTTTAGGCAGTTCGCGCAATATAGATAATCATTAAAAAATTGCTCGATACCTCACAACAAAACTGTATTTCACCAATCGTGATAAGGAAAAGCTGAGTTAATGCAAAACATGTTCGTGTAACTTTTTATTATACAGTCATTCAGATACAATAACAAAATTCTGCGTGAATATGATGAGATACGAGTCTCTAGTCGTATATTACAAATCGATTCACTAAAGCATTTTCTAATTTTACAGTCATTATATCCCATTGATATAAAGTCAAAATGAAAAAATTAAACACATTCATTGAAACAACTCAAACCATAAAAATATAGAATAGGTTCCTAGAATTACCTCTACCAAGTTCCCGAACAATTTTTTCGACAACACTTTGTAGAGTTCAGAAGCATCTTGATCGTTAAAGTGTTTTTTTATATTTTTCTTGACCTTTTTGAGGGCGGCTAAGTTAGAAATTACAAAATGAACAGCATTTCTCAAACCATACCTACTGAATGCCTTTGCTTCATGACAACACTGAGAACAGCTCTAGACGTCGATATACTGCAATTGGTTTCGTAGAATTATTTCTATCAGAAAGATCACAGAGTATTTAACTCGGGTGTTGAACATTCATGCATAACCTATACGAAACTGAAATAAAATGGAAATATAGTATATCTAACAACACCAGTATATAAAGTAATGGACAAATTCATGATATATTTATTTGTGCCTCAGAAAAATGCCGTTGTGTGAAGGTCATCTGCAGTGAACTGCTGTTAATAATTACAATATTGTGGACATTCTAAAATATATTTATACTACTTTACGGCCAACCCTAAACAATATCACTTAAAATGTGGAACATCAACCCAGAAATTAAATATATCCCATGTTATGAATACTTGATTTAAAGTACCATGCAAAATGCTCTGAACTTGTAAGTACACTGCTTTTCTGTCCCACACAAACAATTGAAAATAATGGGTTTTTTCATCCCCAAATCAAAATGGAAATGCAATAATCGATCTTTTTTAAAGATCATGACTTGCAATACACAAAATCAATCATAGTGGCATATTTGTACTTAATACCATAAATTTCTGCAGACCTGATTTTTTCACGAATCAAACGCTATTATTTCGCGGTGAATTAAGAATAACAGTGTTGAACGAGGTTCCATGCCTGTTTAGATAGAGACAAATAAAGGAATTCATAAAAGTTTGAACGAAATTACACAACCCAACCACGTTTTATTTACTCAACCTGCAAAAATGTAACGTCTACACTTATAAGTTGTGTTATTCCTAAACTCCAAAGCAAATTACCTATACATAACCATTCACAGGATTACATTTTTTATCTAAATGCACCATTGTTGCAAAACGTAATGAGAAGTTGACACTGATGACTAATTTGATTACGTGAAAAATTAAAATCGAAATTCAAGAAAGTCATATATGTATATAAAGTCACTTCGCAATATATAAGTATTAATAAAGTTTACGCCAGTTCCCGTTTAAGACTCACGTTAACATATAGAAGCTCTGTAAAGTCTCCTTTAGCATGAAGTAGGAAAGGCATACTGAACTACAAGTCTGTACAATATCGAACACCAAACATCGCGCTATTTACCTTTGCGTTTTTATGACGAAAGTTCCAGTTTATTTTTTATTACACATTCGTTGTGGAATGACAGTTTCATTTAAAACAGATCATAGAACGGGAGAAAAAAGTATTCTTTGTGACTTCTGTCGCAATTTCGGACAAGAACTTAACATAAGATCTCGAGCATTCGCATAACAGATACCGTACGTTGTGGATAAAAAACTTTCTTTGTGTCCGAAGACAGGGAGTGAAACAGTACTTGAATTGAAACTGGTCAAAAGAATTGTGCTCTAAGGTACCATTTTGGGCTCACCAAATTATTTCACTACTTCGACAAATTACCGAAATTATTCATGTTGGCGATACTAGTATTGACAGATGACTTTAAAGTTCAGAGACTAATAGTTAATGGGGGTAACCAACATCATCTTTAGATTGATCCAAATCAACTACTTAAATGGTCTCGATTTCGGGATTTGAAATTATTTCTATAATGAGTGTGTTAATGCATAGTGAATACCGTGAAGGTAACCAGTGGATTGTCAGTGGAACACCCCCCCCCCCAACTCCTGCAAAGGCGAACAGACCTAGACGTCATAGTAGTCGTGCCTGGGAATCGGATGCGAATTGAAATACAATAGTAGCCCCAGGTTGTATAGTCACGGAGCATTCAAATGTTTTAACGAATTTTAAATATCATACACGTAATGTCATATCCTGATTAGGTTCTTCTTCTGGCTCGCCAAGAAACCTACTTAGAACATTGTGTTCATGCATCTGGTTCATATTCGATTAGGGCAGCTAACACAGTAATGTTCAACGTGTAAATATTAAGTTACAGTAAGGACTTTCCAAGCTTTCTTAGAACTAGAGATGGCAACTTTCCAACCTTTTCCTTTCATTCTACCGTAGAATATAATGTGACCTCGTATTGATAGTCAATATCTTAAATAATGATTTAAGTAGTAACATGCCTCAGAGTCTATGAGAGGATGCTTCAAAGACCGTGATCGACAAATCTCAGTTTGTTTCAGACCAATCAGCGGACGCGTTCACAGAGAAGCTGGATCTCCCTGGAAAACAGGCTGCAATTATAAATACAAACCACTCAACCTGCTATACTTATAAGTGAAGTCTGTAGGGTTTGTCGTTATCAACACTACCAACTAGAAGATGTCACGTAGATTCAGCGCTCGACAATGCTATTCTTTCTGATATCTTCCCGACCAAATACTTTAACGCTGGTCGAACTAGAATTCGGGAGTGGAGGAAGCTTTAATATATATATAAATATGGAAAATAGTAGATACCTCGAGTAGACAACCTAAGCTAACTATTTGTTGTGATGAATCCGTTGAGCTGCTACCTAAACATATTCTTTAGCGAACGCCTGATGAACCTCTTTCAACCACGGTTGATCTGATGAATCTAATGAGGTCAGAATCGGTGTCGGAGACTCACAGAATCACTTGTGTTGGACATTTGTTTACCACAATACATTTATCACCTTTTCTTTACATTGTTTTCAACCAATCTCTTCTCGTTCAAGCTTCTTCATTGCATTATCAGTGTAGTCAGCTTAATGAAATGACGTAAGTGTGATACTACGAATTTATGGTTAAAAGAAAAAAAACATTAGTGCTTCAACCTCATAGATATTTAATTAACCCTCCTTCGTCAAGGCACAACTGGAGTTTCCCAGCTGCTACGTCTTAACGGCCCGACCAACAACGACGGCGACGCCGCTAACCTTTTGGCTGAACAATACTCTCAGACATTTCAACCGACCCACATCGAATATATTGATGACAGCTTCATCTGCGACTTCGAAAGACTTTCCGAAATGAACCTGAGCGCTGACTTGGCGTTCCGGAATCTGCAGCACTTAAGAATAGTTACTTCTCCTGGCCTGGATATAGTCCATTCTGCTATACTGAGGGAAGCAGCCTCAATCCTGGCAACGCCGCTTAGTAGTATATCGAGTCGAAAAAGATTTAGGAGTGTTGTTACCCTACGATTTAAAGCCTCACGCTAACTGTGGCAAAACTGCCTTTCGAGCAAACCTCGAACCGTTGATATGGAAGACCATTTTTTGACCATATAATCTTCAATATTTTCACTCGTCCCCATTTATAGTACGGAAACATAGTATTTCCTCCCTTACTCTAAAAGGATACGGACACTCTGGAGCGTATCTAACGGCGAGCCACAAAATCAGTCCGACGACTCAAATTTAAACCTTATGAAGAGCGCCTTCATTCACTTGACCTTTACCCATTAGAGTATAAGCGTGTTAGAGCTGCCCTTCTAATGGCTTACAGTATCCTTAACAATTCTGGACATCATCTTAAACACTTACTCAAGTTTAGTTCTAACACTAACCTGAGGGGTAACCCACAGAAATTGGAGATACAACATAACAGAACGGACTGTAGACACAACTTCTGCTCCTTAAGAGTTGTCGAATGCTGGAATTTGCTGCCGGCTGAACTTGTGAAAGCGACTTCACAGGAGTCCTTTAAAAGGCAACTTGATCTATTCTTAAGGATTAGGGATAGTATCATACTATGATTTACCAGTTTCTTTTCCCTCTTTTATTGTTTGCATAACCAGGTCTCTGCCTGGAGGTGTTGATGACCCCCTGCTGCTAGACACGGAAGCCTGGTAAGCGAAAGCCTCCTCTATTTCGTCCACAGCCATTTGAACCATTTGAACCAAATTGCTTCACCTGAAATCCTAAACAACCTTAGATGTTGGATTTCGTAACCGCGATTTACGCAGGTGGTGCTACATGGCGATAGGTGAGTTGTACGTGTTCTCCATTTTGGTGTTTGGGAACGGGACGGCAGTATTTTTTCAGTTCTGACGGTATATATCATTCTCGAAATTCTTCACTCGAATGAGGTTGATAACATTGGATATTAATGTACTGTGGTACTAAAGTTGCGATCACTTTCCATAGATTTTGTTAGTCTTCAGTCTTCAGTAATAAGAATAGGAGGTCTGTCGACCTATATTAATCCTTGCAGTTTGTAATACTGTGGAGGTCCAATCTCGTTTTAAATATATTAACAGACGGTGCTGATATTACGTGTTCCAGTAGAGAATTCCAGTAATTCACTACTCGGTGCGAGAAACGGAACTCCAGACGTAAACGGTTTGATCTCGGTTTTTGAACTTTCTTCGAATGTCCTCTCAAATGATCGGTTCTAGACGGAAGCAAAAGATAAAACATGTTAATACCAAGGTCATCGTTCAGTATACGATAAGCCAATATTAGATCACCCCGTACTCTACGGTAAGATAACGGAAATAAGTTAAGGTGTCTCAGTCTGTCTTCATAAGATAGGCCAGCTAGACCTTATACCATCTTAGTAGCTCGTCGTTGGACTCTTTCTAGCATATCTGCTTCATATTTGAAACAAGGACTCGCTGCTTGAATCCCGTATTCTAAATGTGGTCGCACATAAATCGGGTATAGTAATCCAAACATTTCACCATCAAAATACTGAAAAGACCTACGAATTGACCATAATACCCTTTAGCCTTTTGCAGCAGCAGCCTTACAGTGACTAGTCGTTTTGAGATCATTGCTTAATATAACTCCCAAGTCTTTATAGTTTCTTGCTTTGGGTAGCACGAATCCACGTAGTGTATAGTCATACAATTCATCAGAGCTATTTAACTGCATCACTACACTCTTATTAGGATTTACTTCTAGTGACCACCTGTCTAACCATGCCACCAATGAGCTAAGATCGTCCTGTAATACTATTCTATCCGACATACTATGTATGGGTCTCCAAATCTTTATGTCATCAGCGAAGAGTAGAACGGATGATTTTGCTACAGTTGGCAATTTATTTACATAAAGTAAAAAGAGAAGAGGACCTAGGATTGTGCCTTGGGGAACCCCACTTTTTACAGGTACCCACGAAGAGAGAGCCCCATTAACCCTTACCCTTTGTCTCCTGTCATGGAGAAAGTTACTTATCCAATCGACGACTGTGTTATGGATTCCAAAACGTTTCAGTTTGAATTTAAGGCCAGATTGTGAAACCTTATCAAAGGCTTTACTTAGATCTATGAAAATTACATCCACAGGAGCGTTCCGATCCTTTGCCGCAGCCCACTCTTCTCGTGCAATGAGAAGATTTGTCAAGCAAGATTGGCCTTTCCAAAAACCATGTTGTGCCCTGGAGAAAAGATTTTTGCCCTTCAACATAGTTTATAACAGCTATCCGAATGATTTTCTCCGTCAGTTTTACAACTGCACTAGTTAAGTTAACGGGTCTATAGTTACTAAATAAATCCCTACTCCCAGCCTTATACACCGGACCTATTATGGCATCTTTCCAGTCTCTAGGAAGTCTGGACTGTCTCAGAGACATGTCGAATAGTATCGCTGATGGTTCAGCAATTTCATCTGATATGGCTTTCATAATCCTAGGATGAATATCATCGGGACCACTGGACTTATCAGGTTTGAAATGTTGAAGTAGCCTTAAAACAGTATCTTTCTCAATGACTACAGGATCCATCAGCGAGCCGTCACGGTCACGATGAATCATTGGTCGTTCCTCATTACCGATAGAAAACACTTTACTAAAATATTCCGATAAGGCTTCAGCTTTTTCGGCATCATTCTCTGCTAAGATTAACGGATTGTCTCGTATCAAAAGTGATGGAATTCCATCGCTTCTCTTAGTTCGCCTTTTTATATACGAGAATAACCGTTTCGGACTATATCTAGAATCCCTAACCAATTTTTTTCGTATGAATGTCTAGTCTTGCTTATCAACGCTTTACAGGCATTCCTAATCTTACAATAACTGGATCTGTATTGTTCTAAGCCAGTAGAAATGGACATATTCCAGTGATTCTTCCTTTTTCTAAGGAGTTTCCTGACCGTTTTAGTTATCCATGGTGGACTATTATTCGGTCTTCGCGGTACCAGGTATGGTATGAACGGGGACGTAACTAGTCTAAATTTACCTTTAAGTACAGACCATGCTTCTTCAACTGATATGCTAG